AAATTTCATTAAACATTTTCATTCTAGAGTAATTGTGTACACATTATTGCAAAATGGAATTCATCTTCCACCTCTATATTACATAGGGGCACAATCTATTATCTAGCTGAAGCTTGAACAGTACCACAGCTGGTGTCCACTGGAATGCTGCGTGACATTCTCCAACGTAACACAGATTTGTCAAGAAAATAAATTAAGCATCTTGTTGATGGAAGCTTCAGAGAAAATTTTGAATCAGAGTGTATGCTTCACCCCTTCCTAAAACATTTCTTGTATCTACATTGGTCATTCATTTTTATGAAACAAATTTTGACTTATTTTCTCAATCTGTTTAAAGCGAGTAATACTTGTGTAAAGGGTAAAGTAGTCACATGTTTTTATATGTCTGCACGAGGAAAGTGACTTCCATTGTATATACTCTAACAGAACTCTTGATTTTTTCAGTAACCACATTCTGATACAAAGGACTTACAATCCATACCTTTCTTAAATTGTCCGTTTATGAATTTAGAAAAAATATCGAAACTATGGATCAACTCCTTCAGGCAAAGTTGACCTAAGATTGATTTGGCTATTGTTATTAGGTCTTATTTCGTCATATAACTCTTTAACTTCATATAACTCTTTAACTGTTTTGTTTTCTTGTACATTATTAGATTTAAAATTTTCGGCTTGGAGTCTTCTTGATGAAGATAAATCCAGAAAAGAGCTTCGGACACATTCAATTTATAAAGTGTCGTTTTCATTTTTGACAGTACTAGGTCAATACTGCTCCTGGTGGACTATCAGTTCCCGAGGGTATAATCAGCCAAATAGTAAGTACTTCTATACTGACATGATTTATAACAAACCTTTCTTAAATTGATTGTCAGTTTATAAATTTATAGATTATAAAGAAACTAGGGTTTCAACTCCTTCAGGCAAAGTTGAACTTAGATGGATTTGGCTTTTATTATTAGGTCCTTTTTGATCATATAACTCCCAACTGCTTTCTTTCTTATACATTCTTGGCTTTCAAAAATTCGACTTTGTGTGTTCCTGGTGACGGTAAATTCAGAGAAGCGCTTTGGACGCTTACAATTTATAAAGTGTTGTTTAACTTTTGCTACACCCCTCATTAGACAAATGGAAGACGACAGTGCTATATTTTTGAACTGGGAATTGTGATACATTGTAGTTGCAATGACTGACAAAATTAATGGTGCATGCATTCTATATAGCCCCATTTTCCCTCTATCAACTCTACTTTATGACGTAGACGCAGCCATAATCAACGTCATTATAAATCACATATTCTTCGTGTTGTCACTATTTATGACCCCATATATGAGGCTGGCTTACTACAGGAGCTTATCAAGAAGAATGAAAAGAAGTTAGAATTTTGCCTTTTTTAAACTCTGCTTGCCCCATGACTAGGTAGTGTAGTTTGACTAACTCTGCTTGCCCCTAGACTAGGTAGTTTGACTCACTCTGCTTGCCCGTAGACTAGGTAGTTTGACTAACTCTGCTTGCCCCTAGACTAGGTAGTTTGACTAACTCTGCTTTCCCCTAGACTAGATAGTTTGACTAACTCTGCTTGCCCCTATACTAGGTAGTTTGACTGTAACTCTGAAGCCCAGTTTGATCGGTTTGATTTCTAATAATATACTCTTCACCTTTGCTTGAAATTCAAAAGAACATTTAACAGACATATGGCTATTCAGGATTTCCTGTTTGGTAAATATCGTAGGAAATTATGTTTGGTTTCCAAGTGAATTGTCAATACCTAATATACATAACCCCGCCACATTCTGTGTGTTACTGTACAAAGGCAGGTGCCTGTAACCCAGTTGTTGTCGTTGGTCGCTGTATATTATATTTCTTTTTCGTTTATTGCTTTGTAGATAAATTTCGTTTCAATTGTTTTACATTTTTTGTCATTCTGGGGCCTTTACAGTTGACTATATATATATATATATATATATAATATATATATATATATATATATATATATATATATATATATATGGTAGGGGTTTTGCTCATTATTGAAGGTCGTACGGTGACCATTAGTTGCTTACATTTACATAACTTAGTCTCTGGTGGAAAGTTGTCACATTAGCATTTATATAACATCTTATATGTTTTTTACTTCTTCCTATTTCAAACAGTTTATGTAAACTGGAGCAATTACAGCTCCAAGCTGATAGAACAGTTACGGGTTTACCTATATTCACAAGCTCAAGGGTTATTTATGAAGAACTTGGATGAGAAACATTAGCTGAAAGAAGAGAGAGAAGAAAAATTTAAATGTTTTATAATATTCAAAAAAATAATGTTCCAGAATATTTGACAAATTTAATTCCCCAAAAAATCCAAAGTATGACGGTATATCCTCTAAGCAATGGAAATGACATCATTATTCCATTCTGCAGACTAGCATTGACTAATGATTCACATTTATTCCATCAACCATACATCTTTGGAATAATCTTGATGATTCAACTCGTGATGCGGAATCAATAAATAAATTTAAAATTGAACTAAAAAAACTATACCCTCAGAGTAACAAATTTGTACCGAAGCAATATGAGTTTGGAATTCGAAAACTGAATATTATTCTAACCCAACTTCGATGTTTTGCATCATCTTTAAACTATGATCTATATAGGGTCAATATTATTTCTGACCCTTCTTGCCGCTGTGGTGTTAATCGTGAAGATTCCTATCATTTCTTTTTTAAATGTTTATTATATTCAGACATACGAAATAAAATGTTTGAAAGTCTGCGCTGCTTCCAAAAGATTGTAAAATTAACATAGAACTACTAACCTCGGGTAGTTATATTCTTTCTCTAGAGCAAAACCAAACCATTTTCAAAAATGTCTTCGAGTTTATTAAAAGTTCGGAAAGATTTCTAATTGTCTAGATAGCAAACCATGATCGCGCACACATCACCATCTAAGTAAAAGTCTTCCTTTTTTTTTGTTTAATTTGTATCTTATTTTTTGGTTTTGTTTTCTAAATATTCATTTTTTTATTTTTATATATTTATTTTTTCTGTATTATTGTTTTCTTTCTGTCTTCATTTTTCTGTCTTTTGACATAAATCCATATATATATATATTAAATAGATATACCATTCTATACATGCATGCTCATACATATATTTTGTATTATATTGCTATAAATGTTAAACGGAGAAGACTTCATAAGTCTGTTTGACTTGTGTCTTATCCAATTTGTACTTGAACAAATAAAATATGTTTAAACTAAAACTAAAACAGTTTATGTAATGTGATTTACGGACAAAACATATAAGTATTGGTGACTTTGTCTACGGAGATAATAACAAATTTGTCAAAAAGAGGTAGTACAGGTGTTAAGAAATATGTGGGTCTTTGAAGATAGATGTAGCATAAGTGGTTATAGACGCATAACGTTTTAATTATTTTTATCAGCAATCTAGCAGCCTTAAACGAAAGAAAAGATCATGATTAGCACGTTGCCTGGCGTATTTATAGACTAAATTCAATAGTATGTTAAAGTTGTGTTTTCAGTATATTGATTTAGGCTCTTGATATTCCAACCCCATTATTTACACATTAACCAGATACGTGTTGTTGACAATGTTCAGGGAACTTGGATAGGTGCAATCATTTATTCTAAATGTAATTAATCTTAAAAATAACTGTATAATTAATAGCATATGTATGGTGTGTACAAATTGTAATGTTGTACAAATTATAATTCGCACAGAATTTTTGTACAAGTTATCAGTTATGAACCGCTTAACACAAATTGATGATACAAGCACGCAGTCTTTTGTTTCGCATATTTCTGTCATAGTTCCATGACTACATAATACAGTTTAATACTGAGCATTGATACAAAAAACATTATAAAACCACTAAAAGACTTTTTGTTGATATGAGTTTGGTATAAGGAGAAAAACAAAAATAGAATTTAAACCATTCAGGTGTCCTTATTTTTAGTTTTAGGACAGGGAGAATAGCACTAAATGTTAGGTTGAAGTATATAAATTTGAATTTAAGACATTAAGCTGATAAATTTTAAAAGATACATTTTTATCACTTGGTGCAAAAAGGTATGTGTAAAAAAACTTATAACTTGTACAAAAACCCTGTTCAAATTATAATTTGTACAAACTTGCATCTTGTACACAACATATATATATATATATATGTGTATATGCTCAGAAACGGGCCCTTTAATTGTATTCAATAAAATATTCTTATTCTTATTCTTAATCAGGAGGTTTAGATAAGAAGTAGTCAATATTGAGATATTGCCACACGTTTTTATAGTTGAAAATGTTTGTCGCTTGGTATGGTATAGGAATAAGATATGGCAGGAAATGATATTTAATATCAGCGTCTAAGTTGAGGAGTAGTGTTGATAACATTCATTACATTCACCGAGCCGCAGGGGGACTATATATACAGCATACACTGTCAATTTTGTCATTGCAACAATAAGGTTTGGCTGGTCCCAATTTACAGTACTGTAGTCATCCTTTTGTATACGGAGAGGTGTTGCAAGGTGAGGATTGTTTGTCCTGGGTATATATAATACGCACAGAAAGGATTAAATGACCAAATTGATTTAAATGTTGATAAACAATGTCATTTGTATTGTTGTTAACGTCATACATTTGTTTGTTTAGTCTGTTTTTAGTTTCATCGACATATAATAATACAAATTCGCAAAGGCTGCACTCTAATCAGTAAACATGATTTCAGATTATCGAAACTTTCTGGTGAACGACCAGATAGAAGGAACAGTACATTATGATCTCAAAAAATATTTGTTTTAAGAATGTACATGTATTGCAAATATGTTTTTCTTTACAAGTAAACACTCATTAAACAATGCAGATCGTTGTTTCGGTCCACGTGCAATTTTAAATAGACATAACACACACTATTAGATAAAATCTGCCAACCTTTACTGATTTTGAAAGAAATCAATTTTTAGGTTAATTCTGTTTTGACCTACTAGTAAGAAAACTTCCTTTTGTGATTTTCTTTGTAAATTGCATAATTAGGACGTTAAATATGAATCGAACATTTTCCTGGAATGTTAGTCCAACTATGAATCGTAAGTCAAAATTTCTAATGAATTTATTGATTTGTTAATTAGCGTTAATTTGCTATTTAAAGGGTTAATAAGATATAATAAAAAAAGGTCATAATTATGTATATGCAGATCAACATGTAATACAACTCCGTGCTAAAGACAAACACAGCATGTGACAGAAGTACTCATTTATGAATATTATATATACTTTATTACCGTAAGCTTTACAGCTGATAGTTTTATATTATATTATAGTAACATTTGCAACAAACATGTAGACTGAGAATTTGTAATTAGTTTTGTAAAATACTGTCCTTAATTTTAAAAGCCAGAAAATTAATATCCCTAAAAGAGTCAACTGTTTTACATTTTGTAAACTGAACAACTGCATGGTCCTGTATCAGTTTAAATACGCTCGGTCAGTAGTATTGTTTTATAAACTTTACCTGCAACATGTGCAAGTCTCTATACCGAGCACACACGAAGACAATAGTACTCTTCCTCAATAAAAGTCCACATACCAATTACAGATACATTTAGAAAAAGACCAGTCCCAATATTTAACGATTGTGAAGAGAGTCTAATTTTTGTTTTAGCCCTCCGGCAGAATGGATTAATATATTAAGACAAATGATATTGTAAATCAAGGTGTGTGATGAGATGTCTGTAAATAACACGCGTGCTTCTGTTTTCTAACAAATAATACAGTTTAGACTGTGATTTTACATTTATAAGACACTGTTTTATTAATTGAAAAGCGTTTTCAAAAGATAGGCGAAAGATACCAAAGGGATATTCAAACTTACAAGTCGTAAACAATTGTAAACTGACAATGGCGAAAAAAGAAATACATGTACGGGCAAAAGACATACAACAGTACACAAAACACAACATATAAAACTAAAGACTGAGCAACAAGAATCCAACCAAAAAATCGGGAATGAAATCAGGTGCTCTGGATGGGTAAGCAGAGCCTTCTCCACATGTGGTTCCCGTCTTGTTGCTTATACAAGAACAAAAGCGGCTATAAGTTTAATTCGGTAGATCACATTCGAGTTACGACAATTGGAACATATCCGTCGCCATCTGTCAATCTGTCAAACAGTAATGCCTTAACGATCAACCAACTCGTGATGGCGTCCGTAAAGTTTTCGAAAGGACGATTTCAACTTCATCACTTGAATTTCGTGGTTTTATAGCTTCGTTATAAGCAGCAACCTTCTATCAATGAAACCATGATAGGAAATGAAATATCGTATCAACTGGGTGATTTATACTCCATATGCGAGCGCTGTCGGAATGTTGCTATATAGAAATTGAAAGTTCACAATTGGGATGCTGAAATCATCTCTTTTGTCGTAAAGTTTTGTTCTTGACCTCATATGAAAAAGGAACAAGTCGGCAAGGAGAGGAAATCACGTCTTCCAAGCTTAACCAATATGTTGTCAATCAAGAAATCAAGCAAGGAGAGGAGCAGAGTTGGTTCTTTACCATCAATTTTTTTGCAACCATACGGTGTCGCAGTTCCCAATTCCCGAATAAAGTAGTCTTCCTTTTGTCTACGGACAAAAGCTGAGGCTTGTTAGTCGTGTGGTATATTTCCCGATGATGTGAACTCGCATAGAAAGAATTAAATGACCAGACAGATTAAGCTGCTGGTAAGCAATGCCATTTGCATTGTTGTTAATGTCTGAACTATGGCCGCACATACGTTCATTAAGTTTACCTTTCGCCAGTTCAGTCTGACGTAACACCGATGTTGTGTATAAGAGAGGCGAAAGATACTAAACGGACATTCAAACTCATAAGTCGAAAATAAGTTGACGTCTTGACTAAAAAAGAAAAAGTCCAAAAGACAAACAACAGTATACAAAACAGAATATAGAAAACTAAAGATTGAGCAACACAAGCCCCACCAAAAACCGGGGGTGGTCTCAGGTGCTCTGGAATGGTAAGCAGATCCTGCTCCACATGCAACACCAGTCGTGTTACTCCTATAAAATACTTTGATAAGTTTAATCAAGTGATTAGGAATCACAAAATAGCGGATTTGCAATTGACTCTTATCCAACCCTAAGACATTATCCTTAATCAATGTATCCGATTCGTCGACCTACAAATTGCATTTACACAAGACGTCCTAAGATCCTCTTAAACGTATTTCAGAATACACTTAATTATATTTAAAAGTTTTAGCTAATATTTAAAAATCTGTAATTTACGCTTCACTTTTAAGGTAATTTGTCCTAGCTCAAAGCTACACGATAGCAGTATTGGTTGATTGATTCATTCCGAGTTATCTTTCACATAAACATAAATGACCTTTTCGATTTTACCTGCTTTGGAAAATATCTAAACTTCGCAGGCATAAGTTAAAACACTTTCAACGTAAATATCAAAAAGCGAAAAAAAAAGAAAACACGCTCAAATGACAGGATCTGTAATTAGAAAGACCATCGATTTTTGTCTTTGTTCAGCAAGTTTCTTTTGTGCATTTGTAAACTTTCCGTTGAATCTGTTTTAAAGCCTTTTCAATAAGCTCATCATAGATAACCGTCAATTGAAAACATCAGAATGACACTCAATGTTTATTATCAAAACGAAAAATTGCCAATGGGTTTTTAATCTGACCATTTAACGACCCCCTAAAAAAAAGAATAAAAATTATATTAGTTTTAAAGTTTACTCTGGAAAATAATGGATAGTATGTTGATGAGGCAAATGTCTCATGCAATTTTAGGAAATAAGCAATATATTAAAGGAAAGTCTTTATGAAAAATAAATAAAAAGTTCTCACCTTACTAGAATATCATGGCGTTCGTCAAATCGTTTGTCTTTGATATTCACAGATATAAGCGACCAAATGATGTCTTTGGAGAAACATTTGCAGGATCGAGTAGTCATCAAATTACAAATACAATTGGTAAATTCTTCAATTTTTAAAACAATTTGTAGACCGACTTTTGTACGAAATTTTAGGCTGAATAGTAAGTTCGTTGGCAATAAAAACAAAGTAGAACCCAATATTTGTCGATCACAACTATTGAACATGTTTCATATCTCAACTGAAAAAGCACATAAACACTACGTGAAAAATACTTTTGTATTCTGTTGTTGTCTTTTGGTCGCTTTTCGTGTTTTGTCATGGCATTGTAAGTTTTTCATCGACTTGTGAGATTGAATATCCCTTCGGTATCATCAACCTCTCTTTGTTGAATTATCTGAATCTGAAGAAAAGATGAAAATGTTTGATATATTTAAGACTTGCAGACAGAATCATATTGTTCAATCGTGAAATTCAAAATACTAAAATATCAAAAAATTAAAATATTTGATATTTTAGTACTTTGAATTTCCCGATTGAACAACATGATTCTTTGTCCTAAGATTATTAATATTATTTGTCTAGTGGATATAGACTTTGATGCCATTGATATGTATTTATTCATTTCAGTCTGTAGTTATTCTGCACTTGCATGCAAAATGACTTCAAAGAATTTTTAAAGAAATCATGCTGCCAACCAAGGCAGTGAAACTACTGCAAATAGCTTCTATTTGGACTTTAGTTAGTGGAGATCATGAATTTAGTATACCAGAGGGATGTAAAGAAAAAAATACCAGTAAGTTACATTATTCAAATAATTTATTTCAGACTTATTATGAGAATATTTGAATATAAAAAGATCTGAATTTTGGAAGGGAAACTAAAGATATTTGCAGTCAATACACAATTACTAAATAGAGAAATATATTGAAGAAGCTTTAAAATTTAAAATTCAGTAATCAAAGAAAAAGCTTTAGGAAAAAAAGTAGAATGGAAAAGTCATTGATAGATGGCGTCTCGAATTAAATGGACAAACGAGCCTATTACGACATCATCAACTCAAGTTAACCCAATCTTTGTATGAAAAGATTCACAAAGTATGGCAATAGAGGGTTTTTTTTAAATATGGAACTCATGAGATCTTTAATCCCTGGGAAGGTACTTATCAACACAAAGTTATTGTTTTATAGGTGATTGGTCTTAATTTTGAGATTGGGGGGGGGGGGGGGGTTTAGAGGTAGGGGGAAGACTTGGTAATATAGGAAACAGAAATGAAATTTGGTCTTTAATTTAAAACGGACAAGGTATCACGTGCAGCTTGTCTAAAAAGACAAATGGAAATATTAATTTGCGAAGTTTCGTAAACTAAAATCTGAAAAATTAAAGTATTTATTACACAACAATTTAGACTGGTGGCATATAGAATAACGTAAGGAAGACTTGGTAATATAGGAAACAGAAATGAAATTTGGTCTTTAATTTAAAACGGACAAGGTATCACGTGCAGCTTGTCTAAAAAGACAAATGGAAATATTAATTTGCGAAGTTTCGTAAACTAAAATCTGAAAAATTAAAGTATTTATTACACAACAATTTAGACTGGTGGCATATAGAATAACGTAAGTAAATGCTGGTTAATGTGTTTCTAATCACATAATTTATCTTTTGGTGGCTGCACTTCAGAACAGATTTCATTCAGCAACGTAAAAAAACAGTACAGAATGACACAATCTTGCGCAATGCCCGAAATAAATTTGTACTGAAACCAAATGCAGAAAAAAACAGTTTAGTCTTGCATGTTTCAAACTACGAATTGGCGAATAAATAAACTTATCATAGATACCAGGATTAAAATTTTGAACGCCAGACTCCCTTTCCGTCTACAAAAGAGTCATCAGTGAAGTTCGAATCAAAAAGGTTAAAAAGGCAAAATAAAGTTCGAAGCTAAAGAGCATTGAGGACCCAAAATTCCGAAAGGTTTTGCCAAATACAGCTACGGTAATCTATTCCTGGGGTCGAAAATCCTTAGTATTCGAAAAAATTCTAAGTTTTGTAAATGATGATCGTCTAAAAACTACCAGATGCAATTATTGAACGACAACAGCGTAATTATAATCTTTATCAATAAACCATTAACCCTAAGTTAAGATTGCAAGGACATTTCCCTTACTTTTCAGCTATAAAAATAGCAATACAATAAACGAGGGGCCTGATGGGTTATTTTCATTCTTCGTGATCGGCTCATTTTCGCTATCGTGATCCGTTTTTCTACAGATTTATTTTTTTTTATATTTTCATGATCCGTGATCATGGAAATTTATTTTCTGTGAATCGTGATTGACAAAAAAATCAACTCGTGAATCGTGATGAGACCCCCCCCATCAGGCCCCTCATAAACAGCTTGGTGTGAAGGACCACTTTTATTCATACAGAAAACACTTTTGTGTATATTCTAAATATATGAAGGTATCGTTTAACATTTCTATCGAGTGGTGTTTCTTTGGGTCATTTTTTTTTTTTTCTTTTTAAAGTTTTGCCATTAACTATAATTCACAACAGTACAGGTATGAATCGGCCATAAGAGGGACACAGTAAGTCACCATCGACTTCCGATTACGTGATGGTACACTTTATCTAAAAACTTTCAAATGATTATCATGAAGCAAAACACTAATAACTTTTAAATATTTTTTGCATGTCAACTTTTAATATTTTTTGTAATATAATAATTGAAAAAAATGTATTGACTAAAATAGTTAAAAACCGAAATCAATTAGAAAATGTCGGTTTAACAAGATTATGTTAAAATGTAATATACAAAGTCGACCAATCGACTGAGACAAACTGACTATCAAAGATATTTATTTTTCTCTCCCTTTTTATCCATAGTTCCAAGGAAATTTTAACCCTCTAGAAATAGTTAATACCGCTAATAACATGTATTCTTAGTCACAATATATGATAACGAGTTCATTAAAGTGTGTACAGCACCAGTCATAAAAACCTATTTTTTTTATATAAATGTAGTTTATTAATTAGCTATAGTATCAGCCGACAAGGGTAATAATAAAAGCATTTTTATTCAAAGTTGTCCAAGAGTTAATTTTTGGATTTGTTAAAATGGAAACACTCACCTTATACATTTTCCATCCGATCGAACGCATTTTGACTGTATTTAAATTCAGCCAACTTTGTAACAGAAAAACAAAGGATATGGGGTATCCATCCATGACACAAAATCAGGACATGCACAGCAAAAAAACACACAAAAAGCAAACGAACAGCGCTTTCATTGCTGTTCTTCATCTCAAAGTCACAATGAGGCCTTCAACACGGAGCAAAAAAACTCTCACATCACTGTAAGTTTAAGACTGCACCTAGCACCGGCTTGAGCGGAATTCTTTGCAAAAATAATTTGGATAGACTTGGTAAGATGTAATACTACCAAATCGGGCCCGGTCAAAAAAGAACATACTGGGAAGTAGTACTTATTTAGAATAAAATAGTTCCTACGCATAGGTGTTATATAAAACTATAGCATGTATTTTAGTAATTAAGGTATCGGATGAAAGGTCACATAATTTACTCATAGTTTTGAGTAATACAAAAATGAATGAATGAATTCTAAAATTGTAAGTTTGAGTTCTGATGTTTCGCTTGAACAATTTCAATTCTAACAGCTGCTTTTCGTTTTATTTTCAGAATATCCATTGTCTTCAGTGAACTGGTCTTGTTTTGTTTTTAATTGGAATAAAATGTCATGCTGGTTTGACATAAAAAAATTATTCCCGCATAAAATAGACCCCGGAGAAAGTTACAACATTACAGTGTTTTACAATATCAAGCAAGTATTTTAAAGAACTAATTGAAAGAAATGGAATGTAAAACTGTTAATGTAAAAATTGTTTTGTCGTTTAAACTACATCACATCTCAAAGTTTTACTGATAATTTACAAACTGAAAACAACACTTATAAATTTCATGAGTCCGAAGCGCTTTTATAGATTTACCTTTATTATGAACGCTCAAAGCCGAATACTTACAAGCCAAGGATGTATAAGAACCGAATCAGTTAAAGAGTTATATGACCGAAAAGGACCTACAAATAATAGCCAAATCCATCTAAGGTCAACTTTACCTGATGGAGTTGAAACCTTAGGTTCTTAATTATTTCTAAATTTATAGAAATTTTTGTCATGTCAGCACTGAAGTACTAAATACTGAGTTGAAGATACCCTCGGGGACTGATAGTCTACCAGCAGCGGAATCGACAAAATTCTGTAAAAAAATGAAAACAACACTTATAGATTTCATGCGTTCGAAGCGCTTTTCTGGATTCACCTTCTAGAGGAACGCTCATAGCCGAATATTTTAAAGCCAAGGATGTATAAGAACCGAAGCAGTTGAAGAACCATATATAAAAATATTTAATATAACCAATGGAATTTATTTTTTACACAATTTACATCTAGGTATTCCATTATTCGATGTAGGATCCGATCTTTCTTTCACTTTACATCGTTAGAGATTTGTGTTGGGGCAATCAAATCAAACGGTAAAAAGTGAAAACTATGTTTTTTAATTAGATTGGGCCAGTGTAAAATGTTGTCATCACTTATTTCCGTATTTCCACCTGTATAGCGAAGACAAATCGTGTCCACTGAAACAACTAGGGGTAATTGAAACAAAACTTTGTCAAAATCATCTGGCTTAACATAGGGTGTTTAATTTCGACGATTCAAACAACATGACTGGTGTTACTACGCGGTATAGCATGACAAATGGTAGTTATTAATCTGAGACTATTATTAAACACGGTTGAGGTTTTTGTTCTAGGAATTTCCATATTTATCATTCTTAATGTAGATAATATATCATATACCGTATGTGATGTATCCCAGATAATTGTAGAATAATGTGTCACATACCATATATGAAACTTGTTCAGGTTAACCCACTTTAACTACCGTAACGGCTCTGTTACTACCTAAGTATAATCTCAAGAAAAAGACAGTTTCTTGTTTCGTGTTTTTGCAACCTGTATACCAGATATAGAGCTATTTTTCAGTGAGTGATTGTAGAGGTACATACAATTCAACTTTGATCATAATTGATACACAGCCAAACTTCCAAACTAAATATTTGCATCTTTGAATAAGGTTTTAAATAGGATCCTTTGCGCATAGACTTGTTTGGTGTTCTACTATCAATTCACTGTATATTTTCTGCATTATAATGTACAGAGTAACGGAGGTGCGTCTATAAACAGCACTGACATCAATAGATAACGAAATGCTTTTTCTTTTTATTATACAGTTATCTTTTTCCCGTTTATTTTACCGAAGTATCACTAAGCGACAGATGTTTGCGGAAAATAGACTTCGCTGGTGAAGTCGGAGACGCGATTTTCAATTTCACACTGAAGTCTTCTCATTTAAAAGAATCACTGACCAGAGTGATTCAATTTGACAACAAACAAGTTGGTAAGTATTTCCTAAATGCTTTTTTAATGAATGCAGACATGAGGTGAAATTGCTATCAATTAATATGTTAAAATCAAGGTATTTGTACTGTAGGTTACGACTACTTTAGATATCTAATCACGACCGAAATATTTGAGTGACAACTTTGTTTTCCAGACCATGCACTTCGAAAAAGACAGGATGGAATGAACATAGTCTTAAGTTGACAATAAGTAACATAATTGTACTAAAGAATGGCATTGAACATAAATGAACAGGGTTAAAACGGTTCCCAATCCCACAAATTCAGTAAATGACCTTTAAAAGATTACAATCAGCTCAGTACTGACATTAATTCCCCGTTCATAAATTAAAAAAAAATATTTAAAAAAAAACTAAGGTTCTAATCTCGTAGGTAAAGTTGAATTTGGATATTCTTTTAAGGTCCCTTTTGGTAATATAACATAAACGGTACTAACGTTTCTTTGTATTTATACATCCATTGGCTATAAAATGTTTAGGTGTAATCGTTCTTGATGAAGGTGAACTCAAAAAAACGCGTCGGATGCACGAAATTCAGAAGAGTGTTATTTTCATTTGCTTGCTTTGCTTATCTGCTTACTGCATTAATGTACTTTTTTTCTTTTATTTGTTTAACCATATATTAACCTCATATATTGTATGTGTGTATTGTCTTTATATCATGTGTACTGTTTTGTCTTAAATGTTCATTATTGTTTTATGCAGTCCATTTAAAAGCTTTTCAGAGCTTATTCTATTTGAAAATAATACACATCAATTTTAATAAAATTTTTGACTTTTGACTTTGATTCATTCAGAATCCTGTTTATTGTTGAATTGAGGAATCTGCGTAGTCCTTTATTTCTGCTTTGAACATTTGGGGGCGCCTATGTAGGTTCATGCCTATAAAAGTGCATTGGAATCCAACCAGATATCTAGGATAACCAATTAGGTAATATACATAACAGGTAAATTTCAAGAAAACTTCATAGGATCATATGCTTGACGGTGTGAACGTTTATATAATAGAATTCTATGCGACTGTCAAACAGGTTTAGCTAGCTATAGAACCAGGTTTAATCTACAATTTTCTAGATAAGGAAATGCCTGAACAAAGTCAGGAATATATCAGTTGTTTTCCATTCGTTTGATGTGCTTGAGCTTTTGATTTTCCAATTTGACAAGGGACTTTCCGTTTTGAATTTTCCTTGGAGTTCGGTATTTTTGTTATTTTACTTTTCATACATCAATGCATTGTTTGTATGCATGCACGTGTTGGTTTTATTGTCTCCTGCATCAATTTGCTTGATAGATGTACATACAGTGTGTTCCACTTCCATGCAGGTCAACATCAATTTCAAATAGCCAGTTCTCATACCACTCCTAAAAATTGATGTATCATGATATAATTTAGATTTCACGTGTTTTCCAAGTGCGTAAACAGGGTCTTATTATCGCTTACAATAAACCTCACCAGGTTTGTGTCATCTTCTGGAACTTGACAGGGGATACCAGTTTTTTTGGCTATTTAAAATTAGTCGAGTAGACCAAACTAATGTCTGGCACCTTTTTTAAAAAATGAAGAAAAGCAAAAGAGATGTAAGCTATACAATATTTTGTTTGCCTTTGTAGTGTTTTTATGTGTGTGTTTTTTGTTAAAACTTTAAAACATTATCACTTTGTTATATCTTTTTTGTAAAGTAAAACCGGACAAAATTAAAGGCCTGCAGCTATATCGAACTAAATCAACAATTTACTTAAAATGGAGATGTCCATCCACGCATGAAGGAATGGAATTTAGAATACGTTACAGATCAGAGTATGAAAAGAACAAAAATGTGAAGGACTGGCAGGTAAAAATGTATTTGTTAAGTTAAGTGAATTTATTGTGAAGCAGAAATAATAGTATTGTCACAACAAAACTGACACTCACACTAGTGTTTAGCAGTTATTCGGTGATTATGATTTTTTTTCTCGTTTACGACTGGGAAAGAAATCACTTTCAATGTGGCAGTCGTTCTTTAAACAGTTACCCGGGTATAATCAATGCTTAAAATAAAGTAATAGTGCTTGTATTTCTCAAATACAGCCACCCATAAAAAATGATGATAAGAAAAAATATTCACTGAGCCACAACCCTGTTAAGATAAACAACAAAGTTAAGAACTGTCTTCTGAATAATTTTTAATGAAAGCTCTTACTAAAACAATATGATATTATTTTGTTCAATTAACTCATTAATGCAACATAGTTTCTTATAACAATAATTCATCTACACACCTCCAAATAACAATAGCAAATCGTGTTCGAGGAAATGAACAACTACATTTGGCATGACGGTGCTTGTAACCGAATGTTTGTGTCATAAGCGACAACGAATCTGTAATATTTACAACTTTCTCTTTGATTGTAACAAGTATGAGTAAATTGACAGGCGTCCCTAGTTAGACGCAAAATGTCTAAATAAAGGCAACAGTAGTATACCGCTGTTCGAAACTCATAAACCGATAGAGATAAAAACAAATCCGGGTTACAAACTAAAACTGAGGGAAACGCATCAAATATAAGATCTTTTTTAAATAAAATCTTTATTCATTCCAACTGTCTTTTACATATTTAAGTATTATTAGTGTCTTGAGATACATCTTCAGACAAATTTGTGTCTCTAATGGTCATTTGCTATGTACACTGGTTTATTAGGAGCTTTGTATTACTTAATGATCTACAATTTTAAATATGTATCCTATTTCCATACAATCACTTTACTGTCTTGATTATTTTTAAATAACAAATTCCTGACAAAATCCATACATGTAAGTTGGTAGCTTTTAATTTTTAATTTTTTCCCCTCAATTTTATTTTCAGGAAAGAACGTACATATGGATTATGAACTACTCAGACTATATATTTCATTTTTATAACGACGTAAGAACTGCATAAAAACCAGCGCACCTGATATTAATGTTTCTTGTTATCACTACCATATGTATAAACATGATATAATTTCAGAAATCAGATTTGAATGGAAAATTATTAGATTGATTAAATGAATAAACAAAAGAAAGAAAATAAAAGTTTCTAAAATTAAATCATTTATAACAGTCCTTTTCTAAAGAAAGGAGTCTTATATTTTAAAATGATATTATGTAATACATTTATCAAAACTGGTTGATTTCAATGTTTGTATTACCTAATCATGGACAATCTATATTTTCCTGATTCATTTTTCTTAAAAATGAAAACTTATCTTTAAAACATGAAGTGATAATAAGAAAATTTACACATGAAAATCAGACTTCTACTTCCGTAGAACACGGCAATAACGATAGCTTGCTTAGTAACAAAAATTACAATTTAACAGCCCAATTATGCACTGGATAGGCAAACATTGTTACTGGAATATTAACAAAAAACTGTTAAACAAGTAAGGGAAATGTTTCATAGTATACTACAAAAGGGATTATCCTGCGAAGAAAAAGATGTAAAAGTTAAAAAGACAACAATTATGTTCATTTTCACAATTCAGTGATATTCATATTTTTCTTTATAGCTTATAATAAATAATATCGGGTAAAGGTTCTAATATTCGATACTCAGTCAGATGTAAAAAAACCCTAAATTTTCATTTGTTAATCCTGATTGAGGAGACGTTGTCTAAAAGTCAACGATTTGAGTTCTTCCAACAGACTTGAACCTTGATACCTGTCCAGACAACACAAAACAGACAAACTAGCCCCTAAATCAATCATAATTCAAGTCATCGATTTGCAGATTTAAAGAAAGTTTGAATCCATGAATTTCAAGAAAAATTTGCTGCTTTTAGCTTATAAAGCCCAAACAAATGTGCCAGTCAATAGTTGTCAGTTTCAATTTCGAATACTTGACTCATAGTTTACATGAAATAAACATGTTGTCACTGCTCTTGTTAGTCTATGAAAGCTTAGATGTAATCGAATGATAATTTGTACAACAGTCTTGATAAAAAATTTAAAAAGTCAGCTGAAAATGCATTTTGTAGCATCATTACATAAATCAATGGAGGTATCTACTTTGAAGTTAAAGAAGTCTGGTTTTGTCTATTCATAGCGGGAAAACGGTAGCTTACTTAATAACAAACCATACAATTTAACAGCACAATTATTCACTGGTAAGGCAATCATTATTACTGGGAAACTCACAAAATACTACTGAATATATTAAAATTAAATTGCATAGATAAGAAAGATGAATGTTATTACATCTTTTGTTGTAAGTCATTTAACAATATATTAAAAGTTTCTCACATAAATGGCAATGTCTTCAACTTTTTACCATTGGAATTAAATTTTGGGTTTTGGCTGAAAATAAGGGCATATATCAGCAAACATTAAATTTCAGAACTTTTATGGAGATCATTTTCTCATTTATTTTCAGTTGGAAAAGAAGGGTTATCAAACCCTTAATCGATAGTAATTTGTACATGCATTGAAAGCAATGATCTTTCATAAACCACATCAGTCCAGATTCTTTGGTTCACGGATCAATGTCACTGTGACCTTAAAACGTCTGGATAAGCAGAAAAAAATTCATTTAGGCATTTCTTCGACAGAAAGAACAGAACTTGTTACAATGTAATTTAAAAAGTAAAGCCATCGATATATTTCAATATACAGAGTAACTTTGTTGATTCTATTCTGTCACAAAAGACTATTATTTGAATTATTTTCCTAAGTCGTAAGTTTTCTTTCTTTCTTTTTATTATGTTTTGACGACTAAAATGGCCCTCTTAACATCAGAAAGGGGTACAGAAAGGAGATGACATTTTAATTATAATGAAATAAAATCTTGTCATATATCACTCAAGACACGATGTTAAGCAAACAAACATCATTCATCCTCTGCATCAATTTGTGATCAGTTGCGCAAATGCCATCGAATATAACAGAAATCTGTAATTTTTTTAAAGGTGTCTCAAGTAAAATATTTTTATTGGAAACAATTTTACAATTGATAGGGGAAAACAAAAGCGTTACCATTCTAGACAACTGGAATGTTTTGATGAACAAACCCTTCCCTAACCTGGGACAGTGGTGTAACACTTCAACTTATGAACAAACTATAAAGATCAGTTTCAGAACTTGGGCTTTAGTCATCAGATTGATGCAAAGCATAAAAGCAAGTAACAAAAATACAGACCGGACGTGGCAGGGTATTTATACATCCCTACAACAAAAAAGACACTAAGTACAGGTCTGAGAGTACTCGCAGTTACTGACAGCTAGTTCAAAGCCAATAACAACTAATAACAAAATCATGAATCTTAGACTAAAGTATCAATCAGCACACATCCAACATCCAATGGATTTTGTGTAAAGACGTCATTAACAGTCAGAGAAATGCCAAAATACAGTTATCGACTGGTTGTAGAACCGTGAATGTGCATATGTATATGTATACATGTAAAACAAAACTGACGTTTAATGATATATTTTCCTACACAATTGATTGGTCATGAACTCCTCAAAATATGAATTTTCTTATAATTAAGCTAAAATAATATATTTTATTGTCCAAGGAGGCCAACTTCAAAAAGGAAAGATGGCTGTTTTTACGAAAAACAGAGGCAAACTAATCTTTAGGCCTTAAAATAATTTAGAAACTTTAAATTTACGTTTTGAGATACTTATGATTCGAATTCATCTTGTATACAAACGGCTAACAGTTACACGACAAGTAAAAACCTAAATTGAGTTGATAATTGTTTCGAAGTTAAAAGACATGGTAACATTTATTTCTGTTACTTACTTCCATTAATCGACATATAAACCTGCCATGTAAAGAAGATACATTTATGTGTGAAATAAACACGTCTCCGGATATGAACTTGGCGTTCAGAAAAGGGGCATATGAACAGAAATCACAATTAGACTCTATAAATATAAACTGTAACAGCAAGAGCGTTCTTCAAGATGAAATAATCAAATATCGCATATTTATTTTAGTCTTTACCAAGCAACTGTAGCATTACTTTGACAAATTTGACAGCGTTTACATCCTATGATTTTATCATTGATGTCATTCCAAGGAATTGGACCCGATCTGGATTTTGGAGTGATGCTTTCACTATCACAGTTAGAACAGATGATGACAGTAAGTAGCCAATATAATGAATAATATTAGTTATGCAGTGACTTACTGATGTTAGACGGGGGATAAGGTGGTTCAAATCGTAATTAGTGTGAATATCTACCCTCTGCCCTTGAATAGCATGGATCCTCCACGGAGCAGTTTCATTAAAGTTAATGATACATTTTACATTAACAAATTGTCTGAACTTTAATGATTGTTTTAATTATACCTTCTGTAGACCTCTTCCGTCCTTTCCGACTATGTTAATATGGTCCCGATTGTGACATAAATACTGAGGTTGAATTTGTAACCTTTTGTAGTTCATGCGATTCCTTCATTTGTTGTTTGTTACATTGATTTTTATCTTTTAAATTGATTATTAAGATTTGAACATCGGTAAATTACTTTAATCTAAATTTACTAAGGAATAGTCAGTATGACGTTCGCGCTTTTAAAAACTATTACCAACTCAATATTTTATCACTTGACAATACGAATAAAGAAAGTAGACATATTAATATATTTCAAGTGCGTGCAATATACCGAGTCATTTCTAGTTGCTTTTTACTTCTAGAGTATATCGTATCAAAATGGTTACGTTTGTACAGTATTTTTATAAGTAAACAGAACTGACGTCCCTCACCCTGTCGACATATCTGTCTCTGTTCATGCGAATCCATCATTTTTTGTTTGTTACCTTGATTTGTATCTTCTGTATCTATTGGTGAGATATGGAAACATCGGTAAATTACTGTTGTTTTATTTTGTTCATGTTACTTCATGATGGTGCTGGATTAGATCATCTGAAAACAGATAAGTCGGTATACATAAATCACACAAGAAAAAGAACAAAAAACTGTTATCATACGTTTATATTGATTAAGAAGAACACGTATAAACTGAAAGTAGTTTATCGATGATCAATTCTTGCAATTCTATTATGAAAACATGTATACAAAAAAAAAGAACTTGCTTGGATTCGGGAGGGAGACGATGTGCGTCGACAAGATAATAGTGTCCGTCTAGGAATGCATCACCAACCATGCGAATACAACGTTAAAAAACGACACGATACGGAATGTGATACGACCGGATTACTATTCTGGTGTCTTCAGATGGTAGACCGCAAAAGCATGTCTCTTGCGTGTTGGGAAAGGGATATCGTATCAGCCAACCAACTAAAGCGTAAGTATCCATACCCCTTTGAGTTCACCCCTCAAATCTACTATTGTGGTTATTTTCCTCTCTCAAAATTCCAAAAAGACATTTTTTCTATTTTGTTTATTTTTTTTATGAATATTGAATGAAATACAACTTGTCATTACATTGTACAATATGAGTAGAATATCTATTATATTATTTAGTTCCACAGGCAGTGCCCGAATTTTATCCCGGATATTACTCAAGTGTCAACGAATCGTATATTAAGATATACTGGAAAGTAAGTAGTTTTTAGATACTACATATTTTAAAAGACACAATATGGTATACGTAGAATTAATTTGATGCCAAGATTTACAAAAAAAAAAAAGGAAAAAAGACAAATATCATTTTGTAGCTAGACATTTATTGTTCAATAAACGATTTGACACCAATACCGTATATAATGGTTTATAAAAAGAAAACATAGATATATGAAAGACGTGAAAATGTGTTTAATTTCATTTTTACTGCATTTTGATAGTTTTTTTTTAATTGTGAAATTTCATGAAGCATGTACACAGAGATACAATTCTTGCATTATCTACTGAATTAGCGTCTAAAATAAATTTAAAGATTGCATGACACTATTTCAGCCTATTCCTCGCTTAAAGAGATGTGGGACTATAACCAACTATCGAGTGGCTATTAAAACGTTAGATGATAAAGAAAGCAACAAGGAAATACTAATTCCACCCACAAACGTATCTTCAAACATTTTGATTGATCATAATCAAATCAATCGTATAGAATTAACACAGATGAATAGAAAAGGCTATCCCAACATCTCCGATGCTCACATTTTTGTCTTTCCTGATTATTCTCGTAAGTATTTATTCCTTAAAGTAATAATCATGATAACGACATTGTAAGAATAAACCACTTGCCTGTCCTTATTTTAATTTCCTGTAGATATAGCTTTTACCAGTTCGTGCCATTTGGGTGAAAATACTAGTTCGTTTATCTTGTCAAACAGTAGAATTTTGTAGGATGCTCTAAAATAGTTGGAGTACATTTAAAACCGATATTGCTTATATTCTTTTTGAGTATTACCTGTGGTAAATGTGCAGTGCGTAACTGGTGAAAGCTCATGTAAAGTTTTGTGATTTGATTCATTTCAAAATGATATATTATATAGACCCGATCCCAAATACATTTTGTACATGATTAAGTGACTTTTAAATGTTTTCGAAAAGTATGTTGATGCAGAAGTTCTTACGATGTACCTGTTCCACTCAAAGTACTTTTGCATCAATATATAGCAAATAAAACACAGTATACACTACTTTAGTACAAACAATCTTGATATACATTTTTTAAGATGCATATAAAAAAACGAACGCTTTAAAAATTTATTGCGTCCAATTTATATATATAATTACCTTTACGAGGATAGCTCATACCCATAAAATTCGAATGCCAAGAATGTATTACTTCCTTAAAAGAGATGCGGAAGATATCAAAGGGATATTCAAACTCATGAGTCGATGACAAACTGACAACGCCATGGCAAAAAAACGAAAAACGACCAAAAGACAAACAAAAGTATACAAAACACAACATAGAAAACTAAATACTGAACAACCGAATCGACCCACAAAACCGGGGGTGATCTCAGGTGCTTCGGAAGGGTAAATGAGCAGATCCTACACCACGTGTGGCACCCGTCGTGTTGATAATGTAAGTTCATAAACAGTCGGGGATATGTCTAATTCGATGGTGTCACATTAAAAAAAAAGGAGGACGGATTTCCTTAACACATGAAGTGCTGTATGATCCCATTACATACTGACAGGCTGCAGGAAAATTTGTTAATATACAGCTTCTGTAGTACATACAAGCAATCTTGATGTACATTTATCAAGATAAATATAAACTGTATACCAGCACTATTAAAGATGTAAATACTTTACATTTGTAAAGATGACTTTATTATCTGTATATTTGTTGAGATGCCTATAAACGGAACATCGGTTGATATCAATTTGACTTTTAATAAAAAATCTTATTGATGTCTTTGACAACAAAAATCTTTCCTCAATGAGTCTTTGATAATTCTGACGTAAACACATAAGGTATGTCTATTTGCAATGGACATTACTAAACTCATCTAGATACACACAATTAGAGAAAAGAAATGACATATGTGTGACGTTTACGACGAAATATAGGATAGAACACAGATCTGCGGAAAAGACACAGATTTGCAGCTCGACATTAATTTGATGCGTCAGGTTTTTGTCAAAGAGCGTCTCGTCCTTTTTCTCAAAAAGTTCATCGGAAAGTACCAAGACCTTACAGATAAATATTCAGTGTCTACTTCTACAAATAATGCAAGATGGTCTCGGGTTATAGTATATATGTGCTGAAGTTATGTATCTTTTTATTTACTTTATAGTTTTCCTTTAATTTGTCTTAGTGTTGTTATGTTCCTTTTGGTCGTATGACTCTTAATGTGACTTGGGATTCATGCACCCAGCTGTCGGGTTTTTGTCTTTGTGCGACGTTCTTAGTATACAGATGGGTCCAGAGTTGCAATTCAGACACACGTGGTTTTTACAGTGCTGTTTTCATTTGTTTACCCTTGTCTTTTATATTTTAAGTAACTTGTATATTATCGATTAAGTGTATACTTTATACTGTATGTACTATTAACTACACAATCTTTTTTTCTGTGGTCTTAATAAAGTTTAATAGCAACTACATATACTTTTTTGTTGACGTCTTAGTAAGATTTATTAGTATGTTTATTTGAATTTTATAGTCAATTGTGTTGTATGTCTGTGATGTATGCTTACACAGATTTGGCTGCTGGGTCCCAATTATTGTCACTTAAACCTATTATGTCTGTTTGGGTTGATCACCCAATTTTGTCAATATAACGGAACTATAATCAAATGTTATACAAGTGAGAGGTTTTGCTAGCTATACATTAACCCATCATTTTTTTTCGGAAAGTCAGGAATATGACAGTTGTTTTTCATTCGTGTCGTTGGTTTCTAAAGTCTGATTTTGTCAGTTTTTATAGACTTCCCCCTTGTGGATTTTACCTTAGAATTCATTATTTTTGTTATACTTTTTTACATATATAACCGCATATTTAGCTGATCTGAATTAGTAACAGGTGCAAGAGTACATGCATATCTAGCTTCAATATCTTCATGTTCTCTGTGAAAAAATATCAAGAGTATAAATCGATCAATAATTTGAAGTAAAAATATGCCGTCAGAAGTTCCAATTCGTCATTTTTTTAATATTTGAAATTATAATGTTCGACAGCCTTAGACTTCCAAACAAATTTGAACGACAGTTTAATATCATATTATATTAAGGTCGTCATCATAACCAAAGTGTATTAATTGATTCAAAGTTCTTTTTTTTTTTTTTAAGTTGTAGCTATGAAAGATAATTTTCTTTGATACTGGACATGTATTTGTATTATAGCACAAGTTTACCATTTTTTCATAAAGATTGTTCAGCCAGTATTGATTAATATAGATTAATAAGAGAATCTGTTTAATTTTGTCAGTATTTTAAATAGGTTACAACAAATGTAGATTGAATTTGTAAATCATGATCATTACTTTTGAAGGTCCAAAATTACCAAGAAAATTTAAGGTACAGACGCTGAACACTACTTCGATCTTATTAACTTGGGAAATATCAGAAACTGATAACAGACCGTTTAAAGAATTGTCCACCGTAACTGTTGTGTGGTGTAATGGAACTTTACCAAACATTTGTTTTGTGAGTTTTTTTGGTGTATATGTGTATAAGAAAAGAGATTGAAACTGAATTTCTAAACAGCGTAAAACTGAACAAATATTGAATTTCAGTCAGAGTGAATAATATTACATCTGTATCTTATTTTTTATAGTTAGTCCTGATCGGATTAGCGGCGTCTTTTATATTGTTTTGTTTTAACACAAATGAAAAAGGTCGAGGGGTTGAGCTCTCACACAGAAGTTTTATTCCATAAAATGAATAATAAGAGGTAACAGTAGTTTACCGATGTTCAAATCAAAAATGTCCATTAAGAGGAAAAATCAAGATAAAAACAAACACTATTGAAATTGCACGAACTTCTTTAGGAGCGGGACCATGCGCGTCGACAGGGTAAGCGTATGCTGATATACATGCATCATCATTCATGCGAATCAGTCAAAATGTCACAATCGGGAATTGAACTCTATCGGTAAATTTACAGATCAGAATTTTTCGATTTCTTAAGATCTAAGAGTCGCAAAAAACATTGTCGCTAATGAGTTGAGGCACAGACATATCGTATCGTTGAATCAACTCGTGATGGTGACCAAAAAAAACTTACGAAATGGAGATTTCATTCGTGTTCCCTCATATCTCTAATAAGCCTGACAAAAGCCGGGAATATGTGGTTATTGTCTTAACTATGCCATATTCGTGTTCGTTTTATACTATTGACCTATATAGGCATGATAAATGTCCTTTTTGTTTATCACGTTTGCTTTTTGCTGTCGTCTTTTATGACTACCTAATGACATATGATTATTGCTCGTTATTCGAGATCGAACGGTAACTTGTCTATTTGTAGATATTGACTCTCTCGTTGGTTTTGGTCTTTTACATCTAGTTTTCTCTGGTAATATACAGTACCTCGTGACTATTTCTACTGTATTATTCGTACACTGTTTAAATGTACTTTGTAACGTTTCAAAGCAGATTTTTAATTCAATATTTTAATTTTACTAATAATTACAGGAACCAATTGCTTCCCTGATCTTTCCATTGCATATCGAAAGCATAAATACGTCCACTGTCATAATGTTAGGCATAGGGAATTATTCTGAATACATATATGGACTGTCTCTAGAAGCAGAAACAAAAGAGGGACTGTTAATTAGCAGTGGGATACATTGGTTCGAGGACTGTATTTACCACATGAATGGAGGTATGTAGCTCACTGTCCTTACATCTTAAGAATAGCATTTGCAACAGGACGTTGAGTAATTAATAATCAATCATTTAATGGTTTATGATAGATGTAGAAGTAACTCTAAGAAAGTGTACAGTAAATGATAACGGGTTTCTTGTTAATAATGGACACTGTTGTAAAGTATGCATGCGTCTTATTAACTTTGTTTTTTTTTAAATCTGAGAGTAATGCAATTTCACAAGAAAAGCCGAGAAGCAAAAGTTGAGAAGTATATGTCTTCTACAAATATAACGTAAGCAATATCAGATGTACTAAACGTAAGTTCTTAGCTCGCCGTACTTACGGTAATGTGCAGGTTGTAAAAATTGGTTAAAAGCTGATAATCTGTTTTGTAATTGCATATGCCTTCACCGAGAATCATGGTTACTTTCTGAGTTCAAACAAATAAAAAATAACTTAACAAAAACTTACAAGAATATTGTATGATGCTAATTCGCTCGGCAAATATTAGCGGAGTTGTTAAAAGTGATTGCGATAAGTACACAGCACACGCCGATGAAGCAATTCCGTTGTTACATACATGAACTTGTAATGTCATTTGGTCCTGGTATCTATGATGAGTTTATTGAAATATATAAATGTAAAACCTTGACTGTTTGTGAGAGGATTTCATTTCTAAAGTCTTAACATGTTTTATAAAGCGAACGTAACAAATGGCTTTTTGTTGAATTTTCGAAAAAAAATTAAATAATAAAGGACTCATATGCACAGTTAGGATAGTTGTGATGTAAATACATTGTCATCATTAGGTATTGGTAACTACTAGTACTCTATTTTAACATCTTATTCTATGCAGGAGGCTTTTTCTTTGCCAATATTAGTTGTGAACTATATTAGGATTTTTTTTTTGGCGAAACTTTAAACTTACGTAGAGAAGCTAATGACAAGGATAATAAAGGGATCTTAGAAAATAACTTGTTTATTTAATTTCTAAAATATATCAGGTTGAATGAGTGTTTCTTATAAAATCAATGTTTAGGAAACAGTACGAGGGTTGTCCGTAAAGTTTGAGGACAATCTCAATAAAATATCATTTACCCGTCCGAAATAAATAAAACAAGTATATAACTAATTTCATGATTTACTGATTAAGTGTACAAAATTTTATTTCAGTACCTGCTTAAATAATCGTATTTTCATCAATGTAAAAATATAAGAAGCTCTCACCCGGAGCACCCAAACAAATATTTCCGACGTTCCGACGTTCGACGACGTCAACATTATAACTTTTCTCAACGTAGTCTCCTTTCAAAGCAACACAGTTTTTACATCTTTTCAACCAGTCATCAAATATTTTCTCAAACTGTTCTGTTTTTGTTGTTAAGATTATGTTCATTACTTCCTGTCTTTGTTCAGGTAAATCGTCGAACCTTTGTCCACGGAGAAAAGATTTGATATGCGGGAATACCGCAAAATCCATTGGCGCTAAGTCAGGGCTATACGGAGGTTGTTTCAGACATTCGAACTCAAGTAAATCAATTTCTAGATGAGTTTTTAGAGAAGTGTGCCCGGTGCATTGTCTTGGTGTAATATCACTGATGTAGTAATGAAACCAGCTTTCATCGGTTGTAATTATTCTGTCTAGAAATCGTATGCCACCACGACCACGAGAAAGTTTTTTAATAAATTGATTCGACAATTCCATCATGGCCGTTTTGTTAAATGTTCTGCTGTAAGAAGTCGCTGTACCCACCTAGCACATACTCGATTCATATTTAAATCATTTGCAAAAATGTGGTGCGCTGTAGTCTTAGAAATGTCACATTTTGTCTGCAACTTCGCAAACTGTTAGTCGCCGGTCAACGTTGATAACGTTCAGAACTTCATCTTTTATCGCATCTGATTTCCTGAAAGATGGCCTACCTTCCCGCTCTTCGTCTTCCAAATTGTATCTACCGTCCCCAAACCTTTTGTGCCACTTGAATTCCAATAACCGACTAACTTTGCTATGTTTCTCAGACTGTTTTAAGAATTTGTGTGTTTCTGTTGGCGTCTTTCCGATGTCTACATAAAGCTTTATAACCATCCGCTGCTCCACCTTTTCCGTAAATGTCCTTTTTTTCAGTGAAGCCGATTCTGAATTCAATGCTTCAAATCGAGATTTCTCCGCCATTTCGAAATTTTGACCATTCAAATTTAGCAGGTGTAACGGCAAGACTATTGTCAACGTCACAATGTATGTTTCGTGTATTTTTTGGCGGATTTTGAAATTTAAAATAACAAAAATATGAAAACACCAGCCTGCATGTAATGTGATATTTTCACCATGCTCCGGGTCCCTATTGCTTATATTTATATAAAGTAAGTGTCATTATTTCGTATTTAAAATTGGACAACTATTGATATAACCGAACTAGGATATAGTTCAGAATTACTAATATGCAAAAAGAATTTACAAGAAATGCTATTTTTACGCAGACTTCAGCTTGTCCACGAACTTTACGGACAACCCTCGTATGTTGATTTACAGGTTGCACTTCAGTTAATATAGACAATGCAATTTCCTATAGGAACTCCTTTTACGGTTAAAACTTTGCAAATTTTACTATGAAGTTTTGTAAAAAGGTCAAAAGATAGGGCTGTGCGGCATATTTTCAACATTTATATGCCTCGAACTTCTAAGAGTTTAAACTTATACTAAAATTCTGAATTACCCCTCTCTTCGCTTTGGGTCTTCCTCAGAATTCAATTCCGTGTGTATTTATACTGGTAAAATATCCAAGTTGTGTCTCTATGAGATGAAATATAGAGGTCATATCTGTGAACCTGTAGGTAAACAAAACAAAATATATATGAATATTATATATCTTTCCAAAATGAGGCGTGGCTTGTGAAACAGCTGTATGTTCAAAGTGTAACCTACAGACATCTTAATTTGTAAAAATGCTACTCATCCAAAAGTTCAATACAATTATTTTGAAATCCTAATTTTTTTGTCAGTTCTCTATTAGTTTATATGTATAAAAACGTATGAAATGATTTCCATACAAAAAGATGTAACAGCAGTTCATTGATGCTAAAAACTTATAAATCCTTTAGGAATATACCTACCAAGAGGAAAACATGTTCAAATTAAATGAACTACACGCGGAGCAAGATCGGGATAACAGGATACTTGTCTCAAACTATACTCGTTCGTCATGCAAATCCTGACTCAGCGAATCAATTCTCGATAAGGAATAGTAGAAAATCGGAAAACTTATAGATTAAGCGAAAAACTTTTCTCTAAAGAGGCGAGACTCAGACTTTCAAATCGGTCTACCGATTCTAGTAAGCAATTGTATTATAGATGTGTAAAATCCGTACCATGTTTTCATTTTATTCAATTTTATTCCATTTTGTCTTGAACGCTCAACATATAACTGATGTATTTCCCTTTCTAAGTCTATTATTTCTTGTATTTCTTGTTGTCTGTTTAAGTGTTCCAGTGTTCAGTAAGTTCTTTCATGCACGAATCAAGTTATTCTTACTCTTTTTAGTGTAACCAATATTTTTTTTATTATGAAATTAAAGACATCTTATACATACACTATAAATTCACAATGTGGCAAATAGGATTCAGAAACAAGCAACAAGTGCTTATATCAATCTTGGTATTCTTTTTCTTTGTTCATTTGTAGTATTTTTTATTTATGACGATTGAATTTTCAAAACAATTTTCTGTGTTCAACGTTTACCAAATATATTAATTACCTTTTAGTTCAGCAGTTCCGTACATGTTTCAAAGTGAACTTACCTTGTACATTGTCAACATATTAACAATATAAAGAAAGCAAGTAACGTCAAATTTTAGTTAATGTTCGCCTGCCATGACAACAACAGTTAAAAACATAAAACTTTGATATTTCAGACTCATAAAAGTGAATTGGTTAACATTCATCATATTTAAGGATTTTTAATAATTTAACAACGTAACGGTTATTTTTCACTCGCACATATTGCCAAAACAGTTCACAAAATTCGCTATTGCAATTATTCTTAAAAAATGCATGAGAGAAAATTTTCTTAAATTATGGGAACACCAAAAAGAGTCGGGCTTAGACTTTGGTAAACTTACCACATTTTGTAGATTAAAAACTAGCTTCCGACGAGAAGCTAATTAGGTATCCTGGATTTTAAACCCCTTAATATTATAACCAAATTTAGATTGTGTCCAACAACTACATATAGAAATTTGGCGATCGAAAAAAAGAAAATAAATAAACAATTAGTACCGCTGAAAAGAGAAGATCAATTATGCACTCATTATCTGAAGTTGAGAATGAACAACATTTTATGCTCGAATGTTCACTCTAAGCCAATGAACGTCAACAAATGACTAAAAAAAATTTCAAATTTCATGCAAACTAACTAGGATAAGAAAAAAGGACATTCTTTAAATATATGTTTACATATTATTTATTTTCACATTTTGTATTATACTGTACTTAAACCTTTTAATTGATGATAACTCAAATAATATCATCTGTCGAAGCATAGTTTATATTATTGCTATCTCTATTTGGATCAGTCTATAATTAAAACATGAATGTATCTGTATGCCCCACAAGGACTCCGAATTGAAAATAAAATATGTTTAATGTTTATAATCTAATTGTATGATCTTCCTACAAGGCAAAACGTACGGACTGCTTCATACACAACAACACAAAACATGTTTATGAAAGCCAAAAAACTACCATAGTTTATAAATATACCTAAATATGCAGCAGCTCCATTGCGGTACTTTTAGTAGTAGATTAAAACAGATTAAATAATTTAGAAATTAATGTATTTGTAACAGGACCCGCAATTAGACCAGTAATTGAAAGAATATTACCATACAATCATAACACCGTGTTAGTTCAGTGGAAACCTTATAATTGTCAACAAAGCGGAGCAGTTATTGGGTCCTATTTAATTCGATTTTGTGAAACAAAGGGGAAAGTCTGCACAGGTAAGATAACAAAAAATATATCGTCACTACAAGCGAACAAAACTAATTTCGGTTATGTAGAAAATATCAATACTATGCAATTATTTCAAAATAAAATAGAAAGTTTCAAATTTCGAAAGCTATCAATGGAAATCAGATTATAATTTATCTATCCTTAATACTATCGATGCAATTTCCATATTGATTGATGTTCATAGAATGAATATGGTGGACCTTTGTCCCTGTTATCTCCCTTGATCTACAGATTCAACGCTATCTTAATTTAGCATAAAAAGAGATGGAAATCGTTTCAAGAAAGAGAATTTTAAGAATAGGACGGCATGCAAGATGACATTGAATCAAAGTGATAAATCAACAGTAAAAAAAATTACCTTCAGTTAACGTTGTAATTCAGTACATGTTGAAAATAAAATGCGGACTACAATATACCGCAGTTTGATTGCAAGACCGTATGAAAGAATATTTCTTAAAGCAAATAAGTATACGAAAGCATACGTATGACACCTATATCAGTACAAATAATCCGTATTTCTGGAATAAGTTATCTTTACCCCAGTACTGGGAGCCACAACCTTAGTTTTATAAATATAATCTATATACAAAAATATCATTTTCAAAATCATGCCAACAAAGAAGCAATGGCTTAATGGGTGCTTCTTATATAAGCAACACTCTGAGCTAAGACTTCGGAGTAGGAGATTAAAGAAAAAAAAATGATGATGATATATAACAAAACACCCTATGAGAACTAGCCAAAACTGCTCGACGCGATGGAGTCTTTTTTCGTCGATTTGAAAAAAATCATCAATCAATCATGAAAATGTTGTCAAAATCAATGTAATAAAAGCATTGAAAATGCAATGTAAAAACACAACAACACTTTGCCACAATTAGTCAAAGGTATGACATATTTATTTTTTTCTGATAGGACCTTACCAAACTAGAAATTCATCAACAGATAAGCTTTCTTACGTTTTGTCGGACTTGCTCAATGGACATTGCTACAGTATAGAGGTTGGAACGGAGCACAAGTATGAGAAAACCAATGGTCCGTGGAGTGAACCTGTTCACTATGATGTTCCCGAATTTCAAGGTAGTTGATTGTGCTAAGCTTTGTTAATTAATTATATACTAGTATTTGGAATTGATCAAACTTAAGTTCCCGGTAGTGGTGGGGTTTGTGTCTCTCAGTCTTTACTTTTCCATGTAGTGTTTCGTGGAATTGTTTGTCTTTTGTCGTTTTCGTTTTCTGCCATGGCGTTGTCGGATTCTCTCCGACTTGTGAGTTTAAAATGTTCATTTGGTATCTTCTGTCTCTTCTTTTAACATAATGCCATCAATTCAAATCGTTTTATTCAGTGTATCAATCCTGTTGTTTATGCTTGATCATACCAAATGTATAACCGATTATTTTCCTACAAAAAGGCAGGCACTATGTTTACTTACTCATCAAAAAGAAAATAAAGAATAAATGATATCGATATACCAAAGGTGAATACATACTCCTATCAATAGAATGAGTAATATATGCGGTAGCCTTCATTCTTGTATTTCATATAAATGATATTTTAAACGGATTATTTTGTCAAATCACTACACTTATATGAATATTAACACAAAGCGTCAACGTCGTACAACGATTTTCTTTTTATTTTACTATATATTTTCTAGTAAAAAAAATAGTAAAGATATCATCCTTGTGAACTTGCTAAAAATTTTAAGGATATTGTGTTTAAATTTTGAATCTCTGATGTGGACCTATATATAATTAATTCTTTCAAAGCATCATGCACTGTCTAAAAAAATGGTAACACCTTATCTGAAACTGTTTCGAAGAAAATGGCAGCATCGAATAACTTGATCCAATTGACTGCTTCTTGCGATTAACAATGGCCAGTATAAAGAACCGTATTTTTGAAAATAGTATTATTCTACCATTTAAGAGAATAAATTTGATTTATTTTCCTATTGTAAAGTGTGTTAATGGTAATTATTGTGTAATGTCAATCTCTCTTCGACTTATGAGTTTTGATTGTTCCTTTGGGCTCGATACTTATACATCCCACCATTGTGTTATTGTACTATGGTCATTTTTTGTATTCTTGTCTTTCATTTTTGCTTATGTGCTTTTTCAATATGTCATTTTGTTTTTCATTGTTGACATATTTGTTTGTTTTATAGTGATTATGATTATAACACAATGTTGACTGCTGTACCCCTATTTTTGACATTTTTACCTACTATGTATGTTTGTTTTGTTCACACATTTTCGTTCAATATAATGGAATGTTATGCGACTGTCATACAGGTGAGATGTTTATCTAGCTTTGAAACCAGGTTTAATCCACCATTTTCTACATTAGGAAATGTTTGTACTAAGTCAGGAATATGACAGTTGTTTTCCATTCGTTTGATGTGTTTGAGCTTTTGATTTTGCCATTTTGATAAGCGACTTTCCGTTTTTAATTTTCCTAGGAGTTCGGTATTTTTGTTATTTTACTTTTTTCCATGTTTTTATTCTGTTCTCGTCTTTGATATGCGTTTTATGTGCGTTTTATATGTAATGTTATGAACAATTGGTTTCCTGCTTTTGTGTGCATTTATAAAGTTTTATTATACAGATATTTATACTTAGCTTTGATGAAGTATTTCAAATTTGATTCAGAACAGAGCTACTGAAAAGTGTTTTTCGTTATATTTCAATTGGTTATAAAGAGGCATACAACTTGAAGGATAGCTTTTGGTAATTTTGTGAATGTACGAAAGTCATAACGAGGGTATCACCAGTACAGTAGTCAGCATTTCTGTCTTGACATCATTTCTCATTTATATTGTCATAATTATAGATTAACTGTTAACAAAACTTTGAATTTTTCGAAATACTACAGATTTTAGACCTTAGGAATAGATTAACTTAGCTGTATTTGGCAAAAGATTTCGGAATATTGGTACCTAGATGCTCTTAAACTTCACACTTTATTTATATGAAATTGGCTTTTGTGGAAATCTAAATGATTGATTTTGGTGTTTTTATGCTATTTTCAGCACTATTGGCTATTTCGTAGCGGTCAGTTTTTTTGATGGAAGAAGACAGAATGCACGGAGAGAACTGTTGTTATTGCCGATATTAACCTCATACCAATAAATACCTTTGATGGTCGTTCCTGCAGTCAGGAACGGCCGGATTGCTCTCCAGTGTGATAAAGTCGTCTGTTAACCATTTAGTTCATTACCGGAAGAGGATGATTTCTGGGTAGTTCTTCGGAAATCTCTAGATGGTCTATCTGATGACCTAAAACTAACCCTACGAATACTACACTCCCCCCACTTTTATTAATAAGGCCCCCTCTACTGAGGTGGGCCCTGTGAATTTCGCCCAAATTCACCAAAATACGGAAATCATACCAAATATATAGAAAATATGCATCAATTTAAAAAAATATACAATCTATCCCCCCCAAACAGACCCTTTGTATTCATGGGTCTACTGGTACACTAAGAGTTAGTACAATGGGTTCCCAACAAATTGGGAACCCAGCCAACTGTGAATTGTTCTTCTCTGGATCATACACAAACTTCCCCTCTCCTTTATACAAACTAAGCACTGGACGCTGAAGGGCTGCAAGTCCTGGTTGGACCTAGGAGATTGTGCGGATCCACCTTCATTCTCTATCTTTACTTGTATTGTCTTTATAACTTTGTAAAGGGCGGGAATTCCAGGGTCCCATTCTCTTCTGCTGGGACCCCATCTGATTGTGGCAATGGTCACACATAAGACTGTTGTCCCACTGTCTACTGTAGGTGTTGTCAGATTACAATACCTAGCGCCAATATTTTCTGCTTTGAAAAGTGACCCCAATCTTGAATAGGGGCTTTCTGTATTAATGGATGCAGATTTCTGGCTGACGGGAGATTTGTTAATCATTACTGTTCCTTTATAGAGTGAAATGTTTCTTTCAGTTGTGGTGTCACGGAATAGAAGTTCCTTCATAATATAAGTTCCAAATGGAAACAATATTCTGGAACAGATATTATGACATTGTTTATAACAAAGTTTCCAGTGGAACTTCTGTTAGGCGGAACAAATATACGTTGACAGTGGCCCTTCTGTCAAAATCTCCCGTTGTGAACCTTGTGACCTTTTGGTCAATTTCTCCCGTTGAGGAAGGGTCCACAAAAATGAGGGGTGTAGGACCGTTTTCAATATTGTCCGTCATTCCTCCAGGATCTACAACAGGATTAGGCCCCCGATATCGCTGACAAACTGTCTCCTCACCACTGGCCTCTTCTACCAATGTTGTATCTGCCTCACCTTCTGAGGCGGAGTCCCAACTTTCTTGGGCCTCCTCATCACTTGCCAAAGTTGTCTCTGTAGGGGCAGCAACCTCGTGATGGCTATGGCTTTCCTCTATAGCCAATATAGCCCCTATGGGTTCCATCACAATGTTGGCTACTGGACCCTCCTGGTCCGCTGTGAGCACTGCTGGAGCAACCACGTTGCCCAAGTCCAGTTCCTCATTTTTCTCCACTAATGGTATGTCAGGGTTATCCACCAGCAAGGAATGGCTCTGGTTAGCCCTTATTTTCCAACAACCACTGTCTATGTCCCTTATCAAAGTAAACCTCTTATCCACCTTGACCAGTTTGTGTATATCTGGTAAAGAGTACCCGGCAAAGCCTGGGTGCCCTTTAAGGATTTCCTCCACAAATAAATACTCACCAGGGAGAAGTTTGTGGCCCAACTCCAGGGCTCCATGCCTCAATATGTTGGCAAGATTGTTTAATAAATTGTGGTCCAGTCTGCCTGAAGGAGTTGCCTCTTCTTCAGTAATTGAGGACTGCCCTGACTCACTCTCTGTTCTAACTTCCACCGACACCCTGGATTCTCCATTCCCCTTCCTATCACTGGGGAGATTGGCATCTACCCCTGGGCTCAATATAGCTTCCTCTGCTACTCTGGCTTGGGGTACAGACTCAACTAAGAGGCCCAACTTCATTTGCGGGGACTCACTCCGGCCTCCTGAGTAGCCCCGTTGAAGTTTAATGGACCTGTTACAGTTCTGCTTGACTGATCCCTTAAGGTAACAGTTTTATCTCTCCCCTGGAAATCCAGACAGTCCTTCCTTACATGTCCAGGCTTAAACAGTGGTAGCACACTCCCTCCCATGGAAGCCCTCTATGAGTGGAGAGACTCCCTGAGACGGACTTACCTCCAAACTTTGTACATTCCGTTTTAAAATGGCCCCTCTCCCCACAGTGGTGGCAACCTTCCGCCTCTGCTAGTCTGCCCGATGAGGGGCTTCCTGCAACGGGGAAGGGGAGGAGTTTCTTGAATTGGTCCATTATGTCGTCAAGTTTTTCAAGGACTAGATCTTTCTTTTCCAGCTCTGCTGGGACCCACTCTGGGGCCATAGTAGCCCTTTCGTGGGGCACCTGATACTCATGGTAGGCCTCAGGGTGGTCTTGATACCGCCCACTCATTACTTGCCTGACCTCACGCCTAATAGGCTTGCCATATATTGCCTGGGTGTTATGTTCAAATAACCTAAGTTTGTCTACTGCCTCCTCAATACTTTGGGGTTGGAGGTTAGAGACTTGCACTCCCAACTCTTTGTTTTCAATGCCCTGGCACAACCGTGTTACGGCTTGCACATACATATACTCATCAGGGAGGTTACTAAATGCACTGGTCGCCAAGGACAACACACGGTCAGCCCAGTCCTCAAGAGACTCCTCAGTGGCTTGCCGGGCATTGTTGAACTGGACCCGGGCAGTCTCAGGAAGCGCCTTGAAACCAAAACGCTTGTGCAGTTTTTCAACTAGCTCCCTATAACTCACCTCCCTGTCTCTTTCCGTAATGAGGGCATAATATTCACTTGCCTTTCCTCAAGGCACCAGCAAAGTTGATCCTTGCACTCTTGTGGGCCCCACTCACAAACCTCTGCATACCTTGCAAATTTTGTGAAGAAAGCCTGCCAGTTGCCCTCCCCTTCATACTTTATATTTTTCAGGGCGTTGCTGACTTTTGAGGCGCTACTTGAAACTCCTCGTGACCCACCTCTGCTGGCGGGTCCCCTTGTATTTTCCCTAGGCCTATCCTTATTATATGCTACTGAGTAGGCCTGCTGCTCAAGGCTCCCCCTTACGGTGTCCCCTTCTGGGGTGTGTACCCTTGATTATACCGACCCAGGGGTTGTCTGTCTCCATAGGTACGAGCTGGGGTCTGCCTTGTGTCCTCGCCCCTATTGTCTTGCCTATCTCCATAGGTGTGGGCTGGAGTCTGCCTTGTGTCCTCGCCCCCTATTGTTTTGTCTATCTCCATAGGTGTGGGCTGGGGTCTGCCTTGTGTCCTCTCCCCTATTGTCTTGTCACTTGCCATAACTACTACGGGGTGTGTCAAACAGTCCCCCACCGGTGTTCACCGGTTGGGTACCAGGTGCTGACCCCTGACTAGTATAATTGCTTGCGTTACCCCTAGGATAAGGAGGTGTGCCCCCTTTGGTTGAGGCACTCTTGTCCCACGCATGGTCTCCGCCTGGCCAATACGGCTTGTACCCAATACTACTACTACCCTCGGGGTGAGGGTTGTTACCCTGGTTTGGGTCACCAGCGTTGTGATGGCCCCACTCTTTTTGCGGCAACTGTTCCCCGTAGACCCCACTCCAATTAGCTGGGGTCTCAGGCCTAGATCTGGTCTCCTCAGAATATGCTCTATACTCAAGGAAGGCAGAGTCCATCTGGCTGGGCCTTCCCCAAGCCCCAGGACTTTGCCCCTGGTGCCATCTTTCTTGATTAAATACAGACTGGCCATGTGTTTGGCATGGCATGCCTGGTGAGACAACCATTCCCCCATCTATAACAGTGTTTATCTTTGATTGATGTTTGCCTCGGGCCTCAGGTGGTGGCCCAATATTTTGGCCACCCCCATTGGTGCTGAAGTCCAGCCTAGCAATGAGGGCCATAGTGACTCTTAGGTGGGATATAGTGGCTAAATCAGCCTCAGTCACAAAGCCCTTGCCATCCCTTATGTCCATTATTTGCTCCCCAGTTTTGATGCCTATACCTGGGAGCTGGAGCAACTCTTGAAAGAGGGACGAAAGATACCAGAGGGACAGTCAAACTCATAGATCGAAAACAAACTGACAACGCCATGCACGTGTTAATGTTTACCAGTGACATGTGTAATTGTAAATCACTGACAACAATTGATAACAAGGTTTATTTATTTAAAGAAAAAACAACAACAAACAAGTTAACACACTAAATATCATTTATTTATTTAATAACACAAATGCTTCGGGTAACCCGTCCTTCTGGTCTGCGGTTAACGGAAGAAAACAAAACAATAACAATACGACTGGTAACCCGTCCTTCTGGTCTGCGGTTAACAGAAGTAAACAAAACAATAACAATTTTACCACTGGTAACCCGTCCTTCTGGTCTGCGGCTAACAGAAGTAAACAAAACAATAACAAATCGACTGGTAACCCGTCCTTCTGGTCTGCGGTTACCGGTGACTGGTACCCAGTTGTCCCTTCTGGGTCAAGCAAGGTAATAACCTGTCGTCTACTGCCACAATCTTTTCCCCAAAACTACCGTGAAGTATTCCTCCAGAATACTCCACAGTTGCCCAAAAAGAGTTATTCCCTCGCGAGCTCAAAACACCCTTTTCCCTCCTCTCTTACAATTTTTACCGTCCACCACCGGCACGGCAAAAACTTTAAAAAATCTCTTAAAAACTGGAACTGCCCGCTAATTGCTCGCAGCGCCAATGTTGTAATTGCCGATATTAACCTAATACCGATAAATACCTTTGATGGTCGTTCCTGCAGTCAGGAACGGCCGGATTGCTCTTCAGTGTGATAAAGTCGTCTGTTAACCATTTAGTTCATTACCGGAAGAGGATGATTTCTGGGTAGTTCTTCGGACATCTATAAATGGTCTATCGAACCAACGAGCTTTGGCAGGAAAACTGGCAATTCTAGTCATTTAAGATTAGAGCCGAGCACACTTCGGAATCAAAAGGACTATGAGTCATTTCATTGTTCGTACCCAAAAAATGAAAAAAAAGTCGCATCATTGGTTGAATTTCCAATAGTTAGGACGTTGCTAGCCAATCAAAACGTATTTTGCACGCTTTTGAAAATATAACTCAGAATGTATTAGATTCAAAAACGACCAATTGAATGTTATTATCTTTTATTTCAAGATTTATGTTTTTACTTCAGGTTTCCAACAAATTGGTATCGTAGCTGGTTCAGTAACAGCTGGCGTTGTTGCTTTCGTTGTTCTCATCATTATTGGAGTAAGATTATTAAGGTAATTTTTAGATGGGAATTGTGTGTTATTGTCTATTTAATATATACCGCACATGCACTTGATTTCATAATACAGTGAAATTTGAAATGAAAACAATCCACGCATAAGACTGAGACGGATAAAGAGTGCTTTGAATCACATAATTGTGTGAGACTATATATTGTCCTATAGATGTCTTTTAGTTATTTTTGTCGTTGGGGTGTTGTCGTAGACCCAAATATCATTTATTTATATGAATATGAAAGGAATAAGACTATAAGAGTAGATCGAGTGAATTGTCTTATTTCAACAAAATATTCATATGCATGTTCATCTAATATGATTTCAATGGTTGTTTTATTGTATGTTGTCATTTACTGATGTTTGTCTTTGTATTTTTATTCTGTTGATTTTTTGGGACGGTATGTTGCCTTATCCGTTGTTCCTTCTCGTATATACATCAACTAAGCCATTAGGATTTGTAAAGTATAAAGATATATGTTTTATAGCAGGGTTACACAAAGACAAAACAATACAGATAACATAAACACAGATTGAACGTTGATTATAGGCTAACAATATTGGATATATATTTTTTTGATTTACAAAGTTTCACCAATAACACACGTTTTTTCCTCCTCGACTGACAATTTGGTGAAAAATATGGTAAAATATTATTAGTAGCAATACATTCAACATTGTTCCGTCCTATCTCAAAAAGGAGTTTGATTCTAGCTTTTAATTACTAATTACTCTTGAACTTACCGTACTTCCAATTTACTCAACTGAAATTCAAATTCAATACTTTTAAGTATCTCATGAATTTCTGAACATATCAATATAATTTAAGAGAATTTTAATGAAACAGATAACTGACTTTTCTGTTATTTTCAGACATAAATGTAAGAAGGTCGATGCAGAGACTAGAATTGATTATACAGTTAGAATAATTAAGGTAACTTGTTAACATTAACTTCTACTCCTATGTCAAGAATCTATCCAACATTACAACATCTCTCTGCAATATTTGTTTTCGGAAAAAGTGAGACGGAATATACCGGAGGACAATAAAAATTCATTAGTCGAGAAAAAAAAAATCAACAACACCATGGTAAAAAAAACATCAAAAAAAGAAGAAAAGACAAACAACAGTCTACAAGAAAAACTAAAGATTTAACAACACGAACTCCACTTTAAAATGCTTGTTAAGATCAATCAAGGTTATTACACCATAGTGACATCACATCTGACATTTCTGCATTCAATTGTCAAGTTACTATTTTTCTTTTCATATATCAATAAAACTTAAATAAAAAGAAATTAATAATTTTACAATATAAATCCTTCGTATAAATATACAAGCATTTTGCCCAAAACGAATGCTTCTGCTACATAATTCTACAAGTACATTCTAGACGTTCTAAACCTAACGCTCGAATCAAAATATGGGAGCACCAGCCTGCAAATACCACTTAAGTCCTAATTGATTTAAAGTCAAGTTACAGTAAATGAGCGCAGATTCCCAAAAAAAAATTTGCGACGTCTTCTACGGGTTACGTCCTGTTAAGGTGGATCCTTGGTATATATTTCCTCAGATAGAATTTTCTTATACTTTGCCAGAATGTAGATTTTTCCATGCTTTTTGCAAAAATATAATAAAAAGTAGGTGTCACCGTGCTATTTTTCAAGCCCAAATTTGCATAGATTGTGCATGAAAAAAATATTTTTTTTGCGAATAAAAAGAAATTTATGAGATAGAATTTTGAAATAAAATATGAGAAGATAGATTTTAAAATATGCTTTAAGACAATAAAAAGAAAAATGGTGTCACCAACCTTGTTTTCTTGCTATCATTCCTTTGAGAACTACTAATTTACAATCCGAGATGGCGGTATACAGTTCACGGGTAGTAACATTGTCATATGGAGGAGCGTTTAGTGCAGTGATTTTGTCATAGTTTGGTTAAGTTGGTCATGGTTTGGTTAGGTTACTTCCAAGAATAATTGCCTCGATTCTTTTCAAATGAGCAAATAAAAAGCAAATAAGATGTTTGAATCGATATGGTAAGTCAAACGAACTACATTGAAATTATTGTTTTTTAAGAAATTTACGCAGGATAAGCAAAGTATCGGTATTGATATGGGTTGGTTAAGTGATTGGCATGGTTCAGTTAAATGTCTAGATATTCGTCATGGTTTAGATCCAAACAAATACATATTTGTTTCACTTTAATATTGTTAGTTTGTTTCAAGGTGTTTGTAAAAAAAATGGAGTTACTAATTAAATAAAATGAAAAGAAGCCTTTTCAACCAAATTGGTGGGCGTGATAGGCAAACCGTACATTAGACATTTTTATTTTTCATATATTTCCTAAGATAGAATTTATATAGCCACATCTCTTTTAAACTGGCGTTCGGTAGATAAATTACAAAAACAGAAAACGTTGCTTCTGTTTCACATAGAATCTTTTCTTCGTATGTTAATGATTGACTCGGTCGGAGATTTACAGATATCATGAGCGGCATCACTAGTCAAGGCAAATTGTTAAAGACGTCTATTTAAAGTTGCTAAACGTAGCAGCTAGTCAATTATTTTTCTAACATTGTGTTCTATTAAACTATAGATCTGTTGTTTTATTTTTGAACCAGATCATGTCTATCGTGAATAGAAGAGATGTGGGGGTTATACGCCAATGATACAGTAACCCAAAAACAAAACTAACAAAAGGATATCGAGAGGGCCCCATACAGTCTTCAACACAAGACAGCTGTCGTTTATTTCTTGAATATTTATGACAAAATTGAAGTATTTATGTGTCTCGTCGGTAGTACCCGCATTCAAACATTTGGAAGTCTAAAAAATTATTAAGTATAAGAGCAATCACAATAAACAAATATTCCATAATGTTGTGCATAGGAGCAAAAAAAAATATTTTATTAGCGGTAAATATACAGAACATGACTGCATGAATGACGTTTAATGTCAGTGTAGGAATTTTGACTACTTGGCTCCTAATACCTCGTGACTAAACGTCAAACATTAAAAACCTATCAGCCAGCGGATGCGAAACAAAGCCACAGTTTTGACTTGACGTAGAAAGTCATTACATTCAAGTTATTTAACCATCGCTGCAGGGACAAAATGTTAAGATGGACAACCCTTGGCCCCTTTTTTAAAAATAAACTATAAATGAAATTAAGTTGAAAGAGTACCTCTAATTTTAGAAGAACTTAATAAATTGTAAATTACTTACAAAAATTTGTTGCTTAGTCTTTATTTTTCTATGCTGTGTTTTGTGTACTATTGTTTGTCTGTTTGTCTTTTTTTCTTTTTTAGCCATGGCGTTGTCACTTTATTTTCGATGTATGAGTTTGAATGTCCCTCTGGTATCTTTCGCCCCTCTTTTACAAAGTTCGAATTTAAATATATGAAAGATCACAATTTAAGAGAATTAGGTCGATATATTGTCCATTTTTATCAATGATGTTTACGAATGAATAAAAACTATTATGTTTTTGTCATAATGTATAAGTGTATTGTGCAGTATCGCTTAATCCGTTGGGCTTTTTTCTTTTATGCAATACAATTTCGATAATAAGAATAACCTCAGTCGTTCAGGTATTTAGTATGAGAAATTGTATATATCAAAAATGATTTAAATTTCAAGATACACGTGATATAAAGATAGCCTGTAACGCAGTGGCTGCCAATTGTTTCTTTATATCATGTTTGTTTTTCGTTTGCTGTTTTATACATAAATCAGGCGTTTGGTTTTTCTCATTCGAATTGTTTAACATTTAATTTTGTCGGGGTCTTTTATAGCTTATCATGCTATATGGGTTTTGCTAATTGTTGAAGGCCATAAGGTGATGTAAAGTTGCTAACATTTACATTGAACAGCGGTATATTACTATTGCCTTTATTTACGTCATTTGGTCTCGGGTGGATAGTTGTCTCATTGGCAATCTACTAATTATATATTACTATGTTATTTCTGAGGTCCTTTTTATCATATTCCAAATGAAACAATTTTTAAAGAAACATTACCATTGAAACACATAAATATATTATTCTCGTGATTTATTTATACATGCTTAATATCTTAAATTTATTGTTAACGGCTTATGTTTAGAGCGAATTATTTTTTCACGAGTAGAAAATCAGCGTAAATGTGTGAAACTTAAATCTATGTGATTATGAACAAAACAACAAAATCAGAAAATGGCGACAATATATTACTGCGAAATAGGGTAGAATATGTTAAACGCGAAAAAAGTATCTGCGAAAATACGTACAGTATTTTAATAGTTGTATAATATATGGTTACTTTTATCGTTATTTTTCCTTCATAGATATAGGAAGATGTGGTATGATTGCCAATGAGACAACTCTCTATCCAAGTTACAATTTATAAAAGTAAACCATTATAGGTCAAGGTACGGCCTTCAACACGGAGCATTGGCTCACCCCGAAGCTAGCTATAAAGGGCCCCAAAAAATTACTAGTGTAAAACAATTCAAACAGAAAAACCAACGGTCTAATATATATAAAATCGAGAAACGAGAAACACGTATGAACTACATAAACAGACGACAACTACTGTAATCAGATTCCTGACTTAGGACAGGTGCAAACATTTGCAGCGGGATTAAACGTTTTAATGGTACCAAACCTTCATACACGACAAGAATCACAGAATTGAACCATGACGAATATAAAATAAACCATGACACTACTATACCAAACCATGACATTCAATTGTCAATAATCTTGAATTATGTGCAAAAATAGCTATGTTTTCAGAAAAACGGTAATCGTATATTACAACGAAATATGTGATGTACCAGACAGTAAACAAATCTGTTTTTATAGTAGGTAAAAGCATTTTCTGTGTGAAATTATAAAGTATAAGTACAAATTTGAATTTACTAATATATTTGCTATAAACAAAGATAATTACCAGCTTGAATTCATGTTCAGATGTTCCTTTAGCAAAATATCAGAATGTTTCTATTGTGTCATTGTTTGTCATTAAAAACACTCAACACAATCATTTCTTACTTAACCAAACTATGACAAAATCATTGTACTAAACGCTCCTCGGTATGACGCCGTTACTACCCGTGCAGTTAATCTACCTTAACTACATTTCATTTGCAATGTATATTTGCAATACCTACTGGAGTGTAAATTAAAAACAATCTATAGGCAGGTCATTTACTGGTCCTTCACACTGATTTATCTTGGTTTATTGATTAGTATTCAACGGTCAACGTCAAGTATTAAATTTATATTGAAGCAGTGTTTATTGTGCTTGTGTTAATGGCAACTGCTAGGACAACTAGTGTGCTACCGGAAAAAAAAAGACAGATTTGAGAAAATATAAAAAAGCACTATTTTGGAAACGGCCATACAAATGTTGTGAAATAAAGCTTGGAGATCCAATTTTAATCATGATTGGTTAAATATACTGTGATCAATGGTGCAGTAGGCCTTGAATATTTCTTCAAAAGAAAAGTATTAAAAACTTTATGCTGTGAATACGGATGTAGAGAACACGTTACACAGACAGAAATCCAACTGAAAAACATCTGGAGTTCAAGAAACGGCCTTTAACAATAGACAGGTGTCAATACAATATGTCAAAGATATTAAGTAAACGTTGATAAGACGGCAATACATCGAAAAAATACTAGTAACACATTGACATTTACCAATCAACATAATGTTTTAAAAAAATAATTGTCGTTTCAAACATCAAGTTCTAAATCGTTCCGAGTCTTTTATAGTACTGAATAAATTAAACAGAGATTATCAAAGAATTTTCGATGTGACATAGGACAAGGTCACTACAGCAACATCATAAACAGTTTAGGAAGATATTATGAAATTCCCAGAATGAATTTCAGAATTTCAATGAAGAAAAAAAAACACTTTAAGTACTGCTTCAAAATTGTAAATTAGCGAATTAATGTTTAACCCCGAAAGTACCAGACGCAGTGATCAGGAAAAATATGAACGACAATTCCCATACTTGTTAAGTAAATATGTTTATAATGAATGGTTGTATTTCATTTTGTTGCATTTTGTTGCTGTCGTCCAGTGAATTTAGTTATGTTTTAGAGACCAAATGCGACCGAATCTGAGTGTTTGCTGGAAAAAAAGAAAACCTTTGGTGACAGTGGTTTTGATGGGTCAAATGACTCACGATATAACGATGCCGATGATTCTAATGTGACTAGACTATATAATCTTAATAACGATGAGGCAAGTTCAGTGTTAGACGGATTCGTGATAGATGAATTAAAAGAGCAGATATATAGCAGTGAGCACAATAACCCTTCAAATATACTTCCTTCTGATAGTGATATGAATGACGGAACCTACAGAGAATTTATAACGCATAGCTCTGATGACGATTCTGATACGTCATCTACAGAAACTGACAAGGAGATATTCGAAGTGTCTGGTGACGGACAGCAAATACAGCATGAAATAAAAGCCATTCCAGACGTTTTACTTCCTCATTCATCCTTAAATGATAGATCGAGTTTGGAAGGGACACGTTTAACAATTGATTCATATTGCAAAGGTTACCAGATCACTAATGAAAATGAATGCATCGAACCTGGCTGTGAAAAGACATAAGAACAGTATTTGACAGGACTGCTACTGAGTAATTAAAGAAATAGAATGAAGGAAAACAAAAGGAGTATAAATTTGAATGGCAATTATCTGAATATTGTTGCAAACAATAAACTCCCCTTATAGAAACTAATTCAATTCATTATTGTCTATACAGTTTTGATTATGGGCAGAGATATTTACATGTATTTTCTGTAAATAACGAATATAATAGTTTGATAAAAAAAACTTGCACCAAAGATAAATGGGATTTGCGAGATGACATTCACATTACAAAAGCTACATCCGGGCTTCATTCATCATTTATTCATAAATAGGTTTTCACACTATTAAGTTTTACTGATGTTCAGGCCGCGGAGATATTTTCAAATAATATGATAACTTTCTTTCTAATCCAATATGTTGCTTTAATGTTATAAAAAAAAAATATTACAAAATGTAGTTGAACTGTTATTTGTGATTTTTGTTGTACCTGATCCACGCGGACATTAACACTTTTTATTCTCCCAAGGAGCTCCTGTATGAAGTCAGCCTTATATGAATAAATGAACAAGTCGACAAGAAGAGGAGCACTTGTTGGTTCCCATGGGAATACCGATTGTTTGTTAAAAATACGTCCTCCAAACAAAACTAATATATTGTCAATCAAGAAATCCAGCATGTTGATAATGTCAGATAATTTTAGAGAACATTTTGTTTGAATCGGAATGATTTTTTTACAAAGTACGATTTATCCATCCCTAAGACATACTTACCTATGTTGGTCATTCTTTTTTATGAAACAAAGCAGGACCAACTCTTTCAGTTTGTCTTTAAGTTTGGAATGGGGAATACTTGTGTAAAGGGTAGAAAAGTCAAATGTTTTAATACTATTGCAAGATGAAAGAATCTTAGATTGTATGTACTCTAACTGATCTTTGGAATTTTTCAGTATTCACATCTGATTCACGCCGCCTCTAGAATATGTAGATTCACGATAACTTTGAAGACCTGATTTGATTGATGATAAAATTTATGTCAAAAATTAAGAAAGAGATTTCCTGGAGCACTTGGAAGACCCAGCAATAAAACGTTATTTGTAAGGACACTTAGGTAATTTAGGTGTCAATTCAGTGAAGAAAGATCCCATTCTTCATCTTTGGTAGAAATTCCAAAGAAACACAGAACAGACCCATACTTTTCCAGGATTTCCTCCTTTGTAAGTGTTGTTGGGATATATGTTTAGTTTCCAAATGAATTGTCAATAACTTATTCATTTATCAATATAAAAATAAGGAGATGTGGTATGATTGCCAATGAGACAACTATCCACCAACGTTCAAATAAAGTGGATGTAAGCAATTATAGGCAACCGTACGGCCTTCAACAATGAGAAAAACCAATACCGTATAGTCGGCTATAAAAGGCCCCGATATGAAAAATATGAAACAATTCAATAGAGAAAACTAACGGCCTAATTTATAACAAAACAATTTACGAAAAACAAATATGACAGACATGAACCACAGACAACCACCGAACAACAGGCTACTGACTTGGGACAGGCACATAGCGCGCTCAACCCTCCCCTAACCTGGGACAGTGGCGTAACAGCACAACATAAGAACAAACTATATAAAAATAAGTTTAAAAAGGCTTAACTCATCAGATCGATACAAACAAAAACAACAAACAAATACATAGATAGGACGTGACAGGGTATATATCCATCCCTCATCTCTAACAATAAAAAAGACACTAAGAACAGATCTTAGAGTACTCGCAGTTACTGAAGCTAGTTCAAGGCCAAGAACAACGAATAAAAAAAATCATGTATCTAAGACAAGCAGTTTATGTAATGTTATTTATACACAAAAACGATGTTGTTTGGGGTTTTATCTGCGGGAACAACAGCATATTTGTCGTTGAGATAGGACAGGTGCTTTGCAACATTTGGGTCGTTAAAGATTGATGTAGTATGTGTATTCATAGATCTATTCAGTCTTTAAATTCTGATTTGTATCAACGACCTCACAGCCTTAATTCAATCGGAAAGGGTATCTACATCTTCATTTTCGCGTTTAATTCATTGCATTACATAATCCTCGACTGAATCCATCAGTATTTTGAAGTTGTGTTTCCACTTGATGGATTTAGGATTTTGGGCCTTTTGACAACCAATTTCGCAGAGAAGTGTTATTGACAATGTTTAGGTCGCCAGTCATAACGGATTATATATGAATGGGGAACTAGCACAGGTGCAATCAGGAGGTTTAGACTTGAAGTCGTCAATATTGAAATCCCAATCACGTGTTTGTAATTGACTGATCTTTAAAATAGTGAGGTATTTTCGAGTAAACTGATTTATGATGAAGGGTACTGCCCAAGTTGATTGCATCGAGACCTTTGTTGGCAAAGGAAATTTTTAGAAAGGATCCATTCTCCTTTTCATCTTTTCCAATGCGAATTGGTTTGAAAAGTCTGTGACTGGCAACATCCGAGATGATAGTTGTAATTTTGTATTGGTTTGAATGGGGGTTTGTAACAACGGTTTCCAAACATAAGTTATACTGTACAGAAAAGAGAGTTTTGAAAGGAGTAGTGAATAAAGCTTAGTGCGAATGTGATGAATACTCATCAGCTTTTGTATAAATGGTGAAAGGTCATTAATAGATACATCAAGGAGAGTAGGTGATGTATAATGACAATGACCATGACTGCGTCTACGTCGAAAAGTAGAGTTGAAAATGTTCGTCACATTCACCGAGCTACAGGAAGGACTAGATAGAATACCTACACCATCAATTTTGTCATTGCAACCATATGGTGTCGCAGTTCTCAATTCTCGAATCCATTAGTCTTCCTTTTGTCTACGGAGAGGTGTTACAGGATGAGGATTGTTTGTCCTGTGGTATATTTTTTCGATAGATAGAATAAATAAATAATTACTGTATGGAGGTACAAATTTTTGAACATTAGGAAAACTATACAGACATTAGAGAGCGAACATGGAAATCGTCAAGAGAAAAACGCGTTGCATTTCAAATTCGAGTATAGAATAATCTTTCGATTAACCGGGAGGTTAGTATACTTTATATATTGTAATCATCAAATTCCTTACTATGAATTATCGGTCATTCATAATTCAATCACTTAACCAATGAATGACATTTATGTGGTCCAACGTTTAACCTAAATCCATTGAGCGTAGCTAATCAAAAGTCAGGCAAGAAACGACTTATTTTAGATATAAGTCAATCAAATACACACATTAAGGGCGACAAAATCAAATTCGAAGACTAGAAGATAGCTATACAATATTTTGATAAAAATATGTATCTGTTGAAATAGACTCATCATAGATACAATTTACCAGTATTACAATTTTGAACGTAAGACGCGCGTTTCGTCTACAGTTAGTGATGCACGAATAAAAAAAATTAGAAGGTAAAATAAAACCCACATTTGAAAAGCATTGAGGACCCAAAATTACGAAAAGTTTGGCTACTTACAGTTAATTTAGGATTATGATTATGACCATGCCAATGATAATTCATGTCAACACAGATATGTTCACTACTGGACTACTGAGCTGGTGATACCCTCGGGGAGGAAACCTCCAACAGCAGTGGGATCGATCCAGTGGTTGTAGATACCAGGCTTAAAATTTTTATATACAAACACGGGTTTCGTCTACAAAAGAAAATTAAAAAGGTCAAATAAAGAACGAAGTTTAAGAGCATTGAGGACCCAAAATTACGAAAGGTTTTGTCAAATACAGCTAAGGTAGTCTATTCCTGGGGTTTTATTTTTAGATTTGACATACCGTCTGGTTATTTTCACATCGACATCTGTCCACAGCAACATGCTTTCTTATGTTGTTAGTGTGGAAATGTGAATTTTATTGTTATACCGTTTTAACCGTTGGAATTACAACTCGTCCGTACATTTTTACCAAATGTTTAAGATTACTAAAAGAAAGGAGAAGGTCCGGTAAGGGCTAGTTTTGGACTAAAATTCGAAGTAGATCTAATAAAAGATTTTTGACATTTTTTAACACTTACGTGTCTACTTCAGTCGATTCAATTAGTTTGTGTAAAATATATGAAATGATTTGGTCATGAAAGACGCTCAAATGCAAGCTTAAATATTAAAAATCTATCAAATATGCCATAAAACGTCACTTTTCAGATGGCAAGTTGCCGCTTTCGTGTTCAGTCTCAACCTTTATATATGTTATGTATTATCATCAAATACAATATATATTTAAATATTAAGACTGAACACAAATGCGGCCACTTCCATTTTAGACAAAAACCGTCTTAAAATTAGCACAAATGCGAAAATTGAGAAGATTTCAGTAATATTGCATGAATTTATGTTGCTAGTACCTGATGCATGTGCATTAATGTACTGTCAAAAACAGCCCATATTTATGGAACAGAACTATTCTACTTTCCAATAAATAGCTAAAAGTTTACATTTCAACAAATTTGTAAAAATGCTTTTTTTTGGGCCAAAATGGGGTCATACCGGGCCTACTCCTTTGGCGTGAAAACGGAATAAACAGTTTTGTTGAATTTAGATGATAGATTCGGCAAAAATCCAGATGAAAAAAACATGTAATGAGCAATCGTCCATCGTCGAAAGATTATTGGTTGATGCAGCTGCAGGTTTCCTTATGAATAACGAGAATGAAAAAAAATTGAATACAAATATGCTAATACTACTTGTTATCTAAAAGATCTCAAAACAGCATGCATGTGCTTATCAGCCTATGCAGGGTTTTTTTTAACGATTCTCCGAGTTTTCTAACTTGAGAAGGTCTGATACTTGCTTAAAACTTAGAGAAGATTAAAACTGATGTATACGGGGAAAGGATTAAGGTTATCATTTCAAAAACAAGGAATGTTATGAAAATAACTTTTATGTTATTAAAATTTGCTGTTACAAAATTTAGGAAAATGTTTTAAATTAAGGAATATATCTCCCTCATGCTAATCTCTGATTTCTTGCACGATTTTGACTATATTCTTTTGTCAATTTTGGTTTATAAGCTCTTCATTTTTTTATTAAACTTTGGATTTTCAAATAATTTGACCTTGAGCATCACTGAAGAGACATATATTGTCGAAATGCGCATCTGGTGCAGAAAAATTGGTACCGTCAATGCTATTGCATGCTCGGTGAATGTACTTCGGCGTTATCTAAAGTAAGCTAACATTTTGGAAGAATCTAATGAATTTATTTTTAGTTCAATTTGTTATTGTAAATCATTGAACATATACAAACTTAGAAAGACTGGTCATATTTCCTACACTAGAGCCACAGAGTTATTGTGTTACCAGCACATGACAGTTTATGTCTTGATAAAAGACAATTTAACTTACACTGTTTGAGATAAGATGATGCTACTGCTGTGGCAGAAGCTAGTGATAATATCAAAGATGGCTTTGTTAAAAAAAGTATACAAC